GAATATTTGAATGAACGTCACTTAACATACGCATTCGATAGAAACGAAGCTTTTGATAAATACCTAGATTTTAATTACATCTTTATTAATTAATTGGTATAACATTATTTAAGTATGTTTAAAATATGCCTCACATTTGTGATAGTACATATAATATACATATATATATACATATATATATATATATATATACATATACTAATTATGTACATATGTATATATTTTATCCCAAACCAAATCAGTATATATACTACAACTGTTACCAATTAATACGCAATATGTAGTTCGACAATTTCTTAAACTGATACTTTTTTTTTTAAACAATTATTCCTTAGTAGTCATGTAGATGTTTATTAAACTCGTTTTCAAACATTTAGTAATCTACCTGACATAATATCATAGTTTTACAGTACAGTAGATGACACATCAAACCAAGTTTTAGATATTTTTAATAATTAACAGTTTATATTCCTTATACAGATTTTTTTATAAGATCTCTCCTATATTTTCAAACTGATATGACATTCGGACTGCAGGCTCGTTTCTTTGTTTTTGTTAGCCATCGTTCTATCGACACCGTGAATGTAAACGTTGTCTTGTTAAAATACTACATTTTTGTCATTCTCCAGGAATATTAAGAGAAAACATAATCGTTTAATAGATTCTGGTAATCAGTCGCCGTCATATAATTTTTAATATATCAAATCATAATATAAATCATGCCAATATTTGTATATGTCAGAAAATAACACGTAGTTATAAAATGGTTTCTGTTATAATTATCTGATCATTTAAGTCCATTTATAATAGTGAGCTAGAAATATTTTTTCATTATTAATGGCGGCCAAAATCTGATGCTTTTATTTGGCTAAAAGTACGGTCTAAAGAAAACTGCCTGGCAACGTGATGACAAAGCTCCCGTCACTGATAGTTGTACTAAAAACCCTACTTGACTGCGAGAGAAAATTAATCACTAATCAGAATTCGATGAATTACCTGAATCCGTTCGTCAAGGTCACACATAATCATGCGGATTCTTATCTGAGCGACACTACAGCTAAGTAATTTTGTTTATTTAAATTGTATAATATGTGTAGTAATACTTTAAAAGTACGTTTTGTTATAAAACAAATATGTGATACATAATATAGTTCTTGAAATAAAAAACAAGTTTAGGAAAAGCTAAAAAATGTCCCTTATTCAAAATTGATATTTAAATTGAACTAATATTTTCGGACAACTTTATGTATTTTATTATTTTTAAAAATTACATGCTCCCCACGTTTAAAGTAAAGTATATACAGAAAATATTTTTTCTACTCGTTTCTCTTCGTTCATATCCTTACCATACTACACTCGCACTTGTTTTGTTATTACGAAACTATGATACTATTACTTCTTCATATAAATTCATCAAAATTTTAAGCTGGCGTATAATGGTTGAATGTGTTTCTTACAACCAAACTTGATTTGTTCCTTAGAACTAAAAGCCTTTTCCAAAGATATGAGCTACTGCATATAGTTTAGATATTACCTGTATAGTGGTTATAATATGTCTGAGGATCAGTATAAGGACTGGTGAAGCAAGCAACACGACCACCAGCACAAAAAACGCCCAAGGCCAAGGTCCGACGTGCGTACCACACTTCATGATCAGCTGATTTCCTGAAATTACACATTCACCTATTCTAATTTTATTCCAGACTATGCTTAGCTGCTATACAATTGTTCCACGTGTATACATAACGGTCATATAAGCCATAACTAATTCGAATGTCAATTATAATTTGATATGACATTATAAAATTCGTTAACACCGATTTGAATGAAAATTATACAATAATGGACAAATAATTTGACGATTATCTAAATAAATATGTTTCATTTTTATATAAAAATAGCTCGGAATAGAATTCGGAATTAGTATCAAAAAGTTAAAAAAATATAAATATTCTATAAAGGCAAAAATTTGGTAATGGAATTCCAGTTGGCGCTTTCATCAAAATGCCTATTTTGGTCGAAATAGTGAATGGTATTTAAAATGAACATCGGTTTCTCTAGTGGCACGTATTCATTTGTCACTGAGGAACAAGTTTTGCAATAGGAATGTGGTTGAATTAACCTAGAGATTACACTTCTCTAGAGAACAATGTATTGATTGTGAAAATCATATTCGACGATGTACGTATTTTTAACGGAGATTTTTACATTACAATGAGCATATTCGTCATCAATTATGATCAAAAATTGCTAAACTGTAAATCTCACAAAAAATTAAAGGAAATTAGATATAGGAATCTTTTCTAAAAAATCATATTAACAACTGCTTAATATATTTTAAATCCTTTACACGAGTAAATAAGAATTATGGATTAAGAGTTTCATATTTTTTTCTTTATCTAATTTGAATTCATTACAATTCATGTCACATAAGGTAACTTTAAAAATTATTAAAGTGGAACTTAGCCAAAAACCTTCCTGCCAAATTATCAAGTTTCTAAATATATTTCAGTCAAAATTAAAGCATCAGAGACACTATTTAGTCTCGATTTCTATAAAGTTCCATTTAAATACTATTGTTGTTTTAAAACAAACACCAGAATTGGTTATAATACAATTTCAATTTAAAATTATAGGTTTATTGAAATTAATATTGTAATTGAAATTTGAATAACAATATTGGCCTTTATGGATATCTTTATAATGTCGTTTTACAACCATTTAAATTACACTCGTTACAAAAGTGATATAATTTTAATAGTAACTTTAGGTACATCGAAAATATTAATTTGTACATATCTCTTTAACTGCATCCAAGAGAATCGAGTTATCGTAGTACGAGTAGGAGTAGATCTTGCAGACTCGACGTTATTGACGAGTTCAGACGGATAAGAGAATTTAAAATAATTAACATTAAAATGTCTCAGGATAAATTAGGTGAGACTAAAAAGCAGTACTCACCCGAGCAACAAATATTCGTTAAAAAGCCATTGGCTTCTCGTCAAAAAGTAGCTCCACGTTATACTCGTACGCAAGATACAGTTACGGTCTCAATCTCCCAATACATACATATATAATACATATATACTTGACTACTATCACTCTTTTTTAAAACACATCAATATCCAAGAGTTACGAGAAAAAGTAAAGGCAGTTCCCATCCAGTTAATTAATAAAATCCCTCGTCTTAATAATATAACACTTTCGTTATTTCAACCTCATATAGAATATTTAAAAGAAAAGTTTCAAACTATTCTCGACCAATCGCAGTCATTTGAGCTTAGTCGTGCTACAAGAGGTCTTGTTGACGGTCTCGGTTCCGTAGTAAAAAGTATAACCGGTAACCTTGATTATTCAGATGCGATATAATTTAATAACTCAATAAAATTACTTCAAAATAACGATAATAAATTATTAATGGAATTTAACAATCATGTCTGCCTGATGAAAGATTGGGTAACTCAGTATTCGAAAATTATTGATAACATAGTAGATAATCAGAACAAATTAATTATCAGCATTAGTTATAAATTTTAATCGAAGTTTACAAGAAGAGAACCAGGAATTATATCAATACATTCATTTAGGACAGGTTATTTTTATTATTAACAATAACGTTGATCGCTTATCATAGTAAGTTACATATCGTATCGTATTAAGTTACAAAACTTTTTAGCATTCATAAAGACAACTATAGCTCACCACGATGTCATCAGTTTAAATTCAATAAGAAGTATAATTGATAAGTCACGTAGCATTTACGGTAGTAATCGAGTATTATATATACATAGGAGCCCGAGAGTATTAATACAATTGAGTTCATATTATAAAAGTAATTTAAATAATTATAATACATATATGTATAAATTCCCAATTATTCCATCCCAAACATATAATTTGTATAAAATATCAATTACTCCTATCAAATTCATGAAGTTCTTATACCTACCACACGCCCGATTCCTTGCAATCCATCTGAAAGATTTCATGTACATAGAGGCTGAATGCCCGAAGCCCACTAAAGGGTATCTATGTGAAGAGATACACAACATGTACAGCCCGACATCGCCTGATTGTATAACAGCTCTTGTTACTACGCAGTAAAAATTCCTGATTGCAACCAGTCATCGCATTTCAATGTCAAGACGTTGCGGTCAAGACGTCTCTAAAATTATAATTAGAATACAAGTTTTAAGTTAAGTTAAGTTAAATTGAGTGATTAAGTTTTATTAATTCTTGGAAATTTTTGCATGCTTTTTACTCGTAAACTATAGTGTATCGTATTTGATACAGTAGGCTAATACACATAATATGTATATTTCTTATTTCAGACTTACATTGAATGAAATTGTCATTCTGTTGATAATGATATTTATTTACTACCACCTGAAAATGCAAACGGAGTGTTGAGTAATGAAGATTTTGGAGACGAATATAACGTCGAAATCAACAACCTACCACCGAGCTTGTTGAGAACGAATGCTGAGTTGCATGGACCTAATTCAGAAGATTTTAAAAGTCAACAATTAGGTCTTGGAGTTGAAGTAGATCAAGAGCCAGATTTCTACGAACCACTACGCAAAACATCCAAAAAGTACAATTGGAGAAAAAAATCTTCACCGAAGCAAAACCGACATGGAAACCTATGTTCCATGTTCCTAATCAAAGGTCGCGATACAACACCACGCCGCCGCACGCGTATGTGTGAGTGTGTGTATACCTAATCTGTAGGGTATTCACACGATGCGTAATTAATTACATAACTTTTGGTTAACTTTACTTAGAAGTTTATTGATATTTATGTTATATTAATTTTTATTTTGTCATATATGATCGTCAAATATCACGTCCTCAAGTATCGATAGTAATTCACCAGTCACCCTGTATAATAGAGTAACTATATGTAAATAAATCATATTTTTTTAAGTTTTCAACAACTCCGTCATGTTTTTTTTTATCCAATGACGATAAAAAGATAAAAGCCGTATCAAGAATATATAATGAGGTATCAGGTATGTATCAATGTATCAAATGTCAATATTGGAACTGAGAAATAAGGATTTCTAAAATTTATTAATACACGAGACTCGTAATAAAAAATAAACGAACCAAAATAAAGCGCAGTCGCAAAAATGCAATTGTGTTTATTAACAGTTAACAGAAGTCTTTTGAAATTATTTGATTTACTTACAAAAAAATGTTTCGTCGGTTTAAATAATAAAAATTACAATTTATGACAAGAGTTTGAATGTTTTAACATTATAACTAACATCGGTTTCTATTTTGGAATTAGGTACATATATACATATACACAATTTCACCACTCATATAAATTAACATGAAACTATGTAAATTATATTGGCTTCGTTAAAATTTTAGGTAATTGTCATATATAAAAATACAATCATTTAAATAAGAAAATTGTGTAAAATAAAAGCCCGGAGCAATAAACAAACAAGGGTTAAAATTGACTACGAAATAAATGAGAAATAAACCTTAAAGTCAGGATTACTTCGCGAGTAAGCGGAAAAGTTAAATGGTTACATTAAAACATGTTTAGAAGCAATTTTCTTAAAATAAAATTAATATTAATAAGTTACGTCTATGACAATAACATAACATTGTGTTTTAAATTAAAATATTGATCACTTACCTCGTCGTTCAAAAACAACGATGAGTCAAAAGTTTGTGAAAGTTGAGCCATGATTGAGCAATTCTGCAATATCAGTGCCGCGTGTGGCACGAAGCATAGCACGACCATTTGTATTAAAAATATCCTTCGACCACGCCTGTCGACAAAACAAGTTTAATGAATAATATTAGCATATACATATACAGTTTGAACGGACTTAAAAAACTGTTAGTTCGATGCATAACTTATTATTTATTGTAGATATTTCAATAAATGTTCTAATGAAATTCTTAAGGTTATATGAAGGAGAAGATAATCGACAACATTAGGCATTTTATCCGTAGAAGAGAAGTGTTCGGGCTACTAAAACGTTATGTGACATAGGATGTTAGTGAGACTAAATCATCCATGCACGCACGGACACACACTCACACACAGTTATATATAATCTATACAATTAGTATAAACTTTATCAAGAAAAAGATTAAAATAATGATCGAAAAATTTGTATTCGACATTTACTAACCATTACAGTGATTACTTCCTAAGTGATTTCATAATATAGCGGTCAAAGTCTAACTCGGCGAGTTTCGAATGAATAAGCGATCAATTTGAGTTTTCTGTCACAATAAAATGTATTAAAGTGAAATATATTCGAAGTGCACCTCAATAGCGTAAAGGAATGAAGATGCTAACGTCTATAGCGTAGATTTGTATCAATATATCCTTTGCACGTTGCGCCCAAATAGGAATGTAAATGTGGGACACAGACAGAACAATTTCTTGCTTTTCTTGACATAATATAAAAATAATTTAAAATGCCTTTGACAAAATATCAAACAAATTCAACAAAACGTATTCTTATCTTTTTTTATTGATTTAGACTTTAGTATAGCTTTTTTAAATTATAATTTATATTTCATAAATTAATATAAGTAGAAAATCTTTACAGTTAAATTAAAAAGAACAGTTACTAAAGTAACTGTTCTTTTTTAGTAAAAGAAAAAATTTCAAAGTAGTTACACCACAGGAGTTTCATCCAAGTAAATTATTCACGACAAAATATTTTTTCGAGAAAATTAGGATTTTATTATAAATAAATCCGCACTCGTGCAATAACTTCAAATGGCCAGCTAATGCCAAGGGAATTAATGAAATACAGAGATATGTCAGCTTTGTAAGGAGCAAATTAGAGTTTAAATTTAAATAGGAATTTAACGTAATAAAAGAGTGTAGGATTTCTATACGTGCTAATTCCCACGACATTCAGGCGTCAGACTATGTAAGGTCTTTTCAGTGGTTTGAAGAAAAGCGCCGTAATCTTCACGAAGTTCTTTTAATATAATGAAAATTTATTTATAATGTCAATAGGGTGAACCTCATAATTGGTATTTTTAGAGATCAAATTTATCAACTGGTGTATTGTTGTAAGTGCAAGTATTTTTTAACTAATATATTTTAGGAACCGATTGTCCTGTTATCTTTTGATAAAAAAATTACTATAGTAATCATGTTTCACAACGGGAAAATAAACTGTCGGGTTTCAGAATTCATGACCTAGCATTAAGCAAAAATAAAAAAATACAAGTCTTAAATTCAGCGGTGATTTATTAAATGTACAGAACTCCATTACTTTAGAATTTATTTAATGTTTTGGAACGCATAGAATAAAATGACAACCATATACTTAGGTTCCTTGAAGTCTCACAACTGTAATGTTTATGCCACAACAATAATAATGTTTTCATACTTGTTACGCAAGCATAACCCGATATTAAGTTTTCGGTATAACAATTGTGTAAAGTACGGAACGCTGACTCTGAGCCATCGGTGGGAATGGGAAAGTGAAGTGGACACCACACGCCTTGCATAATCGGTGAGAGTGAAGAATGGGATTTTTACATATATTCAGTCTGGAGTCAACCGCTGACTTACAGACACCTCTTTAGTATGTAGTTAGTTATAAGACTTAATTATAGAATGGGTCTTAAGTCAATCGCTGACTTAAAGACCCCGCCCTAGCTAGTAGTTAAATTTAAGTCTTAATTGGTAATTGAATATATTTTATAAGTAAAACGGATTTTTCTTGCATCCTTCGCTGCCACCAAACGTAATTAATTTATAACATTCAATTTATTTAATTTATTGTTCCCCGTGTTTATTATTAGTGAAGCGATTGTGTTACACGCGATGCACTCCACGCGAAGATGACACTTGCGTCGCACACGTAACCGCGACAATCGCGTGCGTTAGAAATAATGCACTATCATTCACTTGACAGCTGATTCGTATTCAACTGATTTTATATTTTACTACTAGTTTTTGCCCGCGACTTCGTCCGCGTTAGTTTGGTCAAGAGTAATATACATATGTAGGTATAGCTGACCAAGCGAACTCTATTCCGTCTTAGAGGCCATAAATATTCAGGTTTTCCTGTTTCAATCAAACAGAATGATTGACATATTAGTTCGTTGTCAAATCTAATGTCAAAAAAAAAACTTTTGTATGGGAAATAGAAAAGGGCTGTTTTTAGGGTTTTCCCGGCAATTATTCCAATTTTTCTCACCTTTTAAACCTTCCCTGGACTTCCAGGAGTATTTCAAGACTAAAATTAGCCAAATCGGCTCAGCCGTTCTCGAGTTTTAGCGAGACTAAGGAACAGCAATCCATTTTTATATATATAGAAGATAATTGACTTACTTCACTTTATAATAATGTAAAAATTACAACCCTTATTAGTAAACGCCCTATTTAACACGTTAATGATTAATTTAAATTGATTACACTATATGTTCTGGTATAAATCTGATATTTTATGAAGAGGTATGACGGTTTGATTTTAACGAATCGACAGAGCGACAAAGAAAAGAAAATATATAGGTATATAAATAACTTTTTGAATTGTTTGATTCGGACGTACCATTTGAAAGTTATCATAAGTTTAATAAATCTCAACATGATAGCTCACTTTTTCACATGATCACGTACGTCATCAATGTTATATATATCAAATTCATCATAAATTAGTTGTTTTAAAAGAGAAAGACGCTAGCCTCGCTGACGTAATGTCACTTCTTCTAGTACGTTCCATGATATTTTAAAATGAAACTTGAATTGTTCTTAATGTTCCTGCATTTCTCGAAGCTTCTTCATAATCACATTATTCAATGGTCCGCACTCACTGAATTCTCAACTCCGCTGTCGTGCGTCCAGACGTCATATTTATACCAAGATTTAAACAAAGTTCTATTCTCCTTTTAAACAATCTTTAATTTCGTTTTACTTTTAACAATAATCATGAATACCAATGAGTTTTAATAATAATTGTTGACAGGTTAAAGCTGATAGCGCCGATATATACAAAACTTTTGTAATTATATTATATAGAGCACATACGAAGTGCCTAAAAGTTTAAGACGGTATAGGGATCCAAACGATCAAAAACCTGAATTTCCTCGAATCGAATTCCACGGCATTCCACCAACGCTAGAGGAACTAAGTAGTCAGATCAAGAGGAAGTCGTCTAAATCTGCACCGGGACCCGATGGTATCCCATATATAGTCTTTAAAAAATGTGCAACGGTTCGTAAACACCTCCTAAATATATACGGTAAAATCTGGTCAAGGAAGCAAATCCCGGAGTGCTTCGGGAAAGCAATTTTTGTCCTCATTCCCAAAAAAGATCGAGTTACTGATCCGAAAGATACTAGACCGATAGCTTTAACAAATACTATATCGAAAATCTTTTTCTCGGTTCTACAAACGAGAATGACGCGATTCATGCTCAGCAACAACTATTTTAGGCCAAATCACCAGAAAGGGTTTTTACCCGGGATTTCTGGATGCTTAGAACACAACACCTTGCTGTCGGAGAGTTTAAAAGATGCTAGAAAAAGCGAGCGGCAAATCACTGTTTGTTGGATAGACTTGGAGAACGCGTTCGGGTCGATACAACACGAATTGATGCTTTTCGCGCTTAGATGGTACAACTTTCCACCCCTAGTTAGAGATATGATCGCGTCGTATTACTCAAAATTAAGGTTTTCTATAATAACTAAAGAAGGCCCTTCAAAAAGTTTGAGTTATAATGTAGGACTGTTTCAAGGTTGTTGTCTATCTCCAATTGCGTTTAATATCGTAATTAACATCTTAGTAGACAAATTAATCTGTAACGAGAAAAAATGGGGTTATCGGTTTAAGTTTAATAATAAATACACGGAATCCATTTTAGCCTTCGCTGACGATCTCGCAATACTGACACGTAACCCCAAACACTGTCAGGTACTATTGGATGAAGTGGATAAATTCTGTGAGTGGACGGATGGATTGAGGACAAAACCCAGTAAATGTCACTGTCTGTGTCTTGGTAGGCGGAATACAAGATACACCTCATACGATCCGGGACTATCGTTAGGCGGTCAATGCATTTCTACGGTTACGGAAAATGCACCATTTAAATTTCTCGGTCGTAAGATAGATAATATAGGCCGTACTCCATCTTTAGAAGGAATAGTAGATAGCTTTTTGAACGATCTTAACAAGGTAGATAGCCAACTGATAAGTAACGTCAAAAAAGCGTGGATCTACGAGAATTACTTAACTTCACGTTTGAATTGGCCTTTCCTCGTCTATGATTTTAATAAAACCCTTTTGTCAAAGTTAGATGCAGGCGTCATAAAGATGCTGAAGTTGTGGCTCGGGCTCGCTCTAACGGCTGATTCATCGGCGTTATTTAGGGGAAGCCATAGTTTTGGGATGAGTCTAAAAAGGCCATCGGAGCTCTATAAACACCTAAGAGTTTCCAAGAGATATATCCTGGGGAAATCCCATGATGACATAGTGACATCGCTCCCAAAAGATGAAGATGCCCCCGAGCTAGAGTCACGACTTCAATTCCATAAGCAATTTATGATAGGAGCGCAAAGTAACAGAGCGGGGTTAGGATCAAATAGGAAAGTCCAAGATGCGGATATATTGAAGTCTTTTATTCGGCAAGACGAGAATGATAAATATAAGATCCATGCAATGAATTTAGAAATGCAGAACGAGTGGTTAGACATAGGAGATTTTTGCATCCCATTAGCATTAAAATGGCGCACTTTAATTTATGATTGGTCGCCAGCATTGCTAAAATTCTATCTCAATGCGTTCCAGATGACTCTCCCAGATCAGAGTAATTTAGTAAGATGGGGTACCGGGTACCGAAAAAACTTGCTATATCTGTGGAAAGGCAGAAACTGCTAAGCATCTGCTGGTGGGATGTAAGGTACTCCTTGACAGCGGTCAATACTCGCGTCGTCACGATAGGGTTCTAGAAGTCATACGTGAAGCGGTTAGTCTTTCGGTAGCCAGAGCGCAAAAGGGAATAACCACAAACGAACGATCAGTAGGTTTTGTGAGAGAAGGCACTAGGGCTACAAAATCAAACGTCAAGCCTTACTCCATCCTTAAAGCGGCTTCGGATTGGACTATAATGATCGACACGTATGAAAAACAATATAAAATCCCCGAGGATATTTGTGCGTCGGCCTCCAGACCGGATATATTTTTGTTTTCGCGAATTTTAAAGCGCGTAGTGATGATAGAGCTTACGGTCCCTTGGGAAACCAACATCCCCAAAGACCATACCATCAAGGTCAACAAATATTACGAGCTCACAAACGAACTCACTCGAAATAGGTTCGTAGTAGATTTGTACGCGGTAGAGGTGGGAGCGAGAGGTATAACAGCGAAATCTCTCTATAACCTACTAAAGGACTTGGGCTTGTCCAGAACTCACATTAATGCATTCTTGGAACGTACATCGAAGGCAGCCCTAGTAGGTTCTTTTCAAATTTGGTTAGGTAGGGAGAGGAGCTTGGACAGTGGAGGTGAGCGTATAACGCGCGTTAGTTAAGGGGCCCCTTAAACCTACACTTGGGTCGCAAGTCCCAGGCACTGTTGAAGCTCCTCCCCCTGCAACGCGATGGACCCGGCACCCGCACGGTGAATCCATGGAATGCTGAGAAGTTTCGTCTTAAAAAACTATTATTAGTGGTGTGGTGTACCACACGTTGACTAAGCAACAAGTGTTCTCTAGTGTCTGTAAATTATAATTCCTGATTAACAGTATTTAGTGTAATTTCTTAAAAGTTTTATTATATTTTGTAAACAGGACATAACTAGATCATATTCACTTAATTAACACAGTGATAAATAAAGTGTAGGTGTCGATATTCGAAACAACATATTAATTTCAACAAAGAAATTGTGTGTAACGGTTTATTCATCAGTGCTTTTTGCTAAAACGCGTACGCGACGCATTACAGGGTGACTGGTGAATTACTATCGATACTTGAGGACGTGATATTTGACGATCATATATGACAAAATATAAATTAATATAACAAAAGTTATGTAATTAATTACGCATCGTGAGAACACCCTACAGATTAGATAAACACAAGCGTGCGGCGGCGTGGTGTTGTATCACCACGCCGCCGCACGCGTCCACACTTGGAATACTTGGAATGTGTCCACGCTTTATTTATTTATACGGAAATTTGGTCAAAAATTAAGTACCTATTTTTTTTTTACATTGTAGCCGAATGATGAATGATGTTTTAACCTTATTCGTATTAGTAATAGGGTTTAATATAGTGTAGCAAAGTTTAAGCGGTCGCACTCCGACTCGAAAAATGTCGGTCGTGTCGTGAGGTGTAAGCGGTCGTCGTGACTCGGCATTTGCGTTCGAGTTACCTCCATTTTGTGCCTCCATATTATTCCAACAAATAATTTAATGTTCCTTACTTGTGCTGGGTAAGTAATCCTCTTCGTTTGCAGCTTCTTAGTTTTCAGCGGGGTCACCAATGTAGCCGAATGATGTTTTAACCTTATTCGTATTAGTAATAGGGTTTAATATAGTGTAGCAAAGTTTAAGCGATAAGCGACGTGCGTTTGGTTTGAGATCCAAGTTTTAACTAGTTGGCGGGCGGCGGCCGAGCCGATGCGCTTGCGTTTCTTTGTTTAAAGATTATTGAGACAAGACATTTTTATCTTACGACCACTCGGCGACCGCCTTCTGTAAGTGTCGCGTTCGCCACAACATAATTCGAATGAGAATCATGTACCGAGTATTCTCCTTAAATATTGATTGTAATTCACCAGTCACCCTGTATACACGGCGCTTAAGACCTTTTCGCCGCGAAGTGACATGTGTCTTGCTACTTCATATAACTAGCGGAAGTATCGCTTTCTTATGCATACAACGGTTAAACGCTGTTCGCTTTAATATATGCTGAAGCTGCTTCTAGTGATAGTCTTTTACCTTTCAAATCTATTACATTTAAACGTTTTTTTTCCTAAACAATGTCAACAAAAATACGCCCTGGCTGTTTAAATGCTACAAAGAATAAGGATGGCTTGGAATGTTCAAAATGCCACAAATTTTATGATACACTTTGTGCAAACATCACCGATAAACGATTAAGAGTCATGAATACTGAACAGAGGAATACTTGGAGATGTCCCGATTGCGTGAATAAATTACCGAAAGGTAACAACTCGCCCTCACCGTCCCATGCCAATGTAACTATGCGCAATAAAAGCATTTTTACTCAAAATCAAGATCCTCTGACTGACGATAGTACGAGTAATATTGAGCTTCCCAGTGATAATTTAAAGGAACTAATAAGGCAGGAAATTAAAAATGCTGTCAAAGAAGCCGTGGCAGATCAATTTATAATTATTAATGATTTAGTAAGCAGCTTCCAGCAATCTCTCTCGTTTTTCAATGATCAATTTGAAAACATTCATGTTTAACATTACTGGAAGAAAAATCTCTTAAAATTCAAAAACTTGAAAAGGAGAACAGCACTATGCATACGTGTTTAAACGATCTTACAAAACGCATTGATTTAATGGAACAACATTCGAGATCCTGTAATATCGAACTGCAAAACGTACCTGAGAATCGCTCTGAAAACTTAATTAATTTAATAACAGAAATAGGAAGAGTAACCAATTATGGTATCAAAGATTCAGACATTCTTCACTGTTCCAGAACAGCAAAATTGGATACAGCGAGCAAAAGGCCGCGTTCAATAATCGTTAAATTTAGCAGTCCTCGTTTCCGCGATGGTTGTCTAGCAGCAGTAAAGAAATTCAACAAAGCCAACGCAAATGCTAAACTCAACTCGAGCCACCTTGGTATAGGAGCGGACAAGCCACAACCCATATATGTTATGGAACATCTCTCTGTTGCTAATAAAGCTATACACGCGGCTACTAGAATTCGCGCTAACGAACTGGGATTTAGGTACGTTTGGGTTCGCAACGGCAGGATCTTCATAAGAAAAAATGAAACAACGCATAGCATAGCCATCAATTGTATAGATATGTTGATTCGGTTACGTAAATCCATATACTCTTATGTTTTGTATTGCATGCTCTTTTTTATTATGTTATAACATTCAATTTATTTAATTTATTGTTTCCCGTGTTTATTATTAGTGAATGCATATATTTTTTTTCATGTTGTTGTTTTCGAGTTAAATGTGTTATATCAAAATGTAAGAGGCATAAGAACCAAAACAGATGAAATTTATCAAGCAATTTTGCACTCATACTGTGACATATTAGTTATTACCGAAACCTGGCTTAATATACAGTATTTAATTATGAATTGATCGACAAAAGATATAATGTTAACCGTCGCGGTCGCTGTTCTACCTCATCGAATAGTACAAAAAAATGGAGGTGGAGTACTCATTGCAGTTAAAAACAAATTTCAAGTTACTAGAAAATCCGAATGGGAATCAACTTGTGAAGCTATATGGTTAACAATTCTTACTCATGATAATAACTCTATTTATATTTGTGCTGTATATATTCCACCTCCAACGGAATCAACATACATGAAAGCACTTTTAATAAATTTAATTCATATCAGACAAAGTTATATCAAAGAAGAGTCGCCTCTAATAGTATTGGGCGATTTTAATTTACCGAATATTGGATGAGAACTTGATAGTGATACGCGTACACTGGCTCCGAAGTCGTCTTTTAACCTTATTGAGAGCGATTTCGTGGATACTTTGACTTACTGTGATTTGTCACAATATAATTCTGTTTTAAATTGTACCGGTCGAATTCTAGACTAATAATAACTAGTGACCCCGACGTGATAGTTATAGTGAAAAGAGATGTTATCGGTGGTAATTGTTTATTGAATTTTAATACACAACACAATTGTCAATAACACATATAATAACGTTCAACGGTTCACAAAAAGTAAGTTTAATTATGAAGAAGAAGAATAGGAAGAGAGTAACACAAACTATAATTAATTGGCGAATGGATATTTTAAAATACTAAGGATTAAAATGATCAGCTGTTAACTGCCGTTATCGGTCGACTAACTAGTCACGTATGCCCGCCGGCCGGGCCGCTCTGACCTCTGGCCGGTCAGCGGTCAAACCGAGCGGTCTTACAATCATATGTAACTATAAAAATGAGTAGACGGGCCGGCAGTGTGTTTAAAATGCAGTGGCGGCGCAAGACCTAAATTTAATGTGGGCAAGACAGATTTCGCGAGGCCCTATTCTATGGAAACCTGAAGCTCTTACTACCAGCTAGTTTTCAAAACTTAAACGTCGATGCATTTTTTTACACTTAAAGCTTTGGTTTCCTTCAAAAGATATTATAAAGCCTATTTTATAGACTTTATAATTACTGCGTTACGTACTTATCACCAATTAAATATTTGTTACTTCATGTAAAATAGACGAGTACAGGTACTAGTGTAATTCAAATCACAAAGAAAACAAAAACAATTTTAAAAACGTCACTGTTCGGGGGCAATCAATATACTTAAACACTATCTATTTATTCGCTAAATATTATTAAAACATTGAACACACTATTCTTATCAAAATAGGTTTAATTAATACTGATTCCCAAAGAGGGTTGACGTCAAGCAGACGACCGGTCGTAAAAACAATTAGCCAAAACTAATCACAACATGTAAGGCAGACCCTGGCTATAACTGGGAAATTGCTAGGAAGAAGAAGAAAAAGATATATTTTTTTTAATTCTCTAAAATTTTTGAGGCGCGAGGCCCCTTGTACCGCGAGGCCGTAGGCGGTGGCCCACGTCGCCCACGCCTTACGCCGCCACTGTTGAAATGCATATGTATAAATATATATATATATTAAATGTAAATAAATAAATAGGTACGCTACAAGAGAATAAACAAAGTATATATAGATTTACAAAATTATTATAACTTTCTTGAAATTGTTCTGAAATTGTTATAAAGAACCCATATCGAATATGAAAATATAGGATTAATAGGTAATGAAGTAATAACAAGTAACTTATTTTAAATTTAACGTCATGATCATAATTGATATGATTAAAGGAACAATATTTAATAACCTTAACAGAAAACATAAAAACTACTAGGTACTTTTAGTGCAAGCGCAAGTTTAATAAACGAATAAAAAGTTATTCTAATAAATGATAATAATTTTGCAGCGGAATAAATTCAATATCCTCATGGGTGTGGCGCGTTTGCCCTCACTTGTCTGCTCGTATGGTCCGAAACTTGACAAGTTTCTTACTTCAATTAACTTCACTTGAACATTTTGTAAAACATTTAAACATTTTTTTACGGTGAAGGAAAACATCGTGAGGAAACCTGGACTTATAGTTTCACAATTATAAGTTTGAAATCACCAACCCGTCTTGAGCAAGCGTGGTGATTAATGCTCAAACCTTATCCATGTGAGAAAGAGGCCTTTGCTCAGCAGTGAGCGTTGATAGGCCGATGACGACGAACATTTTGTAATGACTCCATAAATCAGGATAGTTCTAGTATTTAGTCCTATGTTTTCTATTTTACTATAGAAACTACCATCTCTCGATACACGGCACGAGTTCATCATTTCTACGCGGTAGAAGTTGGAGCGAGATGTATAACAGCTAACCGTAACAACCTACTAAAGGACTGGGCCTGTCTAGAACATACATCAATTCATTCTTAGAAAAGTCAACTGTGAAACTCAACTCAAGTGTACACTATATATATAATTATATTGTTTTTTTATTATTTAGTAATATTATTTAGTAATTGTTTCTTATTTTAAATGGAATATACATATATTTTATAACTCAGTCAAAGACACTTGAAGTAGATCGTTTTATGACTTCAACTTTTTATCAACTGTGAGATGTGACAAATGGATGGACCGTAAGAACAACCCTATTTAATGGTTCACAAGGGGAAATAAGTAGAGGAAGACCATTAACGCGATGGGAAGACGACATAAAAAGTACAGCAGGTCCAAACTGGAATCAAACCCCAAAAGGCCGTGAAGAATGAGCATCATTGGAGGAGGCCTCCACTCAATCTGGGCTTCATGCAGATGATAATACTGAATCATAAACTACTTAAAGTAAACAATAGGATTGATAACTAATATTAAATATTTTTTATTTAAAACTAACATTAATATTAAGATAGAACTAACCGAACAAACAGTTGATAGTAGTTTTCAAAATTTGTACCTACTAATATCATATTGTAATTCTATTCTAATAAAGGCTTTTAAGCTACTACAGCTTTTAAAAAATCCCTAACACCTATCTTCGAACGTCGGAGACACGATTACGTGACGTCACGTGCTGATAGACCTGCTATCGGGCAGCTAGTGATCTGGACCTTCCCTAATGTCCCAAGACGGCAAAGGAAAACTTGAAATAGTTCTGTTAAACCAAACTCAACTCCGAAGCACACGTGTTTATGAGAATGCAGGACCTGGCTACAGTGTTATGTTTTCTTTTTACTTTACCACTACCCGTCCGGTAAAATCACATATACTAAATGCAAGTTAAGCAACCTTAATCTAAAAGCTCCCAAAGAATGGACAGATCCCAGGTCTTCTTGATCAAGTCTGTTAATGCAAAGACATTAAAAACCTTCCTTAACATACAAGCATACCCCAACCCAATACAAAAAGTTGTATTTAAATTTCTATCCCGGTAATAAAAGTACGATGTCTCACCAGAATTAATCCTTGACCTTATTTCAGTTCATTACCTCAGACTGGAAAAGTCTAGATCGCGATGCAATCTACGTAATCTGTAATCTTTATCAATTGACAATTTTGAGAAAAAGAATGCACGATGAATATTAAAAAAATAAATATTCTACGGAAGAACAAAAATTCATTTCCAAACTTTGGTTTAGAATAATTATTATTGTTCGAGGGAGAATAATTACTAAAATTATTATTATTTTCATCTTAAGAGAACGAGACTTTAATTTCAAAATAGACTATACTGTGGCTTAATCAATAATCTAATATATAAAATTCTCGTGTCACAGTTTTCGTGCCCATACTCCTCCGAAACAACCTGACCGATTTTGATGAAATTTTTTGTGCTTATTCGGTAGCTGTGAGAATCGGCCAACATCTATTTCTCATCCCCCTAAATGTTAGGGGTAGTCCACCCCTAAATTTTTTTTTTTATTTTTTAGACAAAATTTTTAATTACTATTTTTTTATGATACAACGTACAAAAATACATACAATCCTAAATTTTCACCCTTCTACGATCAACCCTTATTTTTTAATAGCTATTTTAGTAATTTAATCATTTTTCATCTCCGGTCGATAACTGATCAATCGTCATTTAATAAGTTATCCCCGCCAGATATCTACAGGTGTCACTTCTGACCCAGTAAACAGCACGGAGTAGGGATGAGAACGAAGCCGGTCTTCTGTTTCTCTCACACAATTAGACTTCTCTCACTCCCTACACAGTTGTCGGCCATCGTTATTGTTTGTGCATCAAGTGTAGTAGTAACGTTGACAATTATTATTTTGCTAGCTCAGTGTAACTCTCATATTAACTATTAATCATTCCTAATCACTTCAAAACACGGAGATTTATGGCTTTAATAGGTAAACTCCAAAAATATAAATAAAAAAACGTAACAGATATTTCTTGATTATAGGGCGAAACGAAGTTCGCCGGGTCTTCTAGTAATAATATATTATTATTTTTAATATAAAGATCTCCTGTTTCGATATATTATTATAACATAATATATTCATACTTGAATACATATATTACACTTTTTTTGTGTCATTTGCGTTTATAAGAGCTTCAGGTTTCTGTCTGTCTGCCCACATTAAATTTAGGTCTTGCGCCGCCACTGCGTACACGTGAATCACACCAACATTATTTTGAGCTCAGATTTTCGTGAAATTTTACCAACGGGTTTTAGGGTCAATTCATAGATCAAAGTATAGTATTTCAGTTTTGAAAAAAAAATCCATTCAAATTTCTATACAATGAAATAATGATGCAACATCGAGTAAACCGGTCTGAACACAAAACTAGCCAAGCATATTTCTCAAACTAAAAATGGAAAAGAGTTACATCTTAATATGTTATTAAAACACAAAATTGCATGCGCAGAGCCCTACAAACGTGTTGCTAATTAATTTTGTGAACCGTGATTAATGAATACTTAGGTGAAATTTATATTTATACTTTTTCTTTAACTGTGTAATCCTGAATTGGTCTAAGTATTATTTAGTTATCTTATATATAGTTATCAATTAATACTTCCGGTTCTACATATACGGCTAGTTCGGGTACATCGTGATGATTATTTATAAGTATAAATTAAAACTTCTGTTCAACAATTTAATTAGTAATTTAATAATCAAATAAATAGTTGATTCATATTTGTTTATACTTGGAACATTTTATTATATTATGTTATTCTATTTATTAATGGCGCCTTCTGCTTGTCAGCTTCCGGCGCAATTAATAAATAGTGCTTATTGTTATTTATATTCTCTCAAATTATGTCGATTAATCAATGCTATAATAATTTTGTTTTGTCGTGTATAATGCAAGAATTAAGCTACCAGAGCCTTATTTTACTGATATGACTAGATTATCAACTTCCGGTGCAATATATCAAGCTTTAATAAGTTTACAAATTTAATATTAAATTAAGTCAAGATATTGAATATAATAACCGCTATACCGCCATATTGAATATATCGGCCATTATACTATTTGCGCTGTAGCATGGTGCGGGTGACAGTTTCAATAACGTTTCGTTTCACTCTTGAAAGTTGCCGCGATTTACAAATTATGACTTAGTATTTCAGCTGTACCACATTCGTAATAAATTAAATCATTAATTACTGAAGTAGTTTAAATTAAACCAAACCAGAATGTTCTAGTGTACAAATATAATCTAATGGAAAGAAAAATTAAGCAAAGTATTATGCGTTTAACGTAATGCCATAGACGTATTTAGTGATGGGATGTACTGCTACAATGGATAGTCGATGTTTTTTTTGTAATAAAAAATATACATATATTGGCTGTAGTTCAATTATTATTGTAAAAAGCCTATAATTATATTAATGTAACAACAGATCTTATATAAAGATGATTTTATTCGTCTAAAATCATATCAGAACCAGGAACATCTGAATTGTCAGTAATTTCATCATCTGTATCTGCGACGGATATTATTAACGATGAGTTAATAATGGTGTAATTAATGTTGTTACGTAAAGAAATCATAAACCCGATTAAACCTAAACTGCAAAAGGAATCAATAATTGGTTTAAATTGATAAATGTTATATGAAATATAAATTATTACTATTACAAAAACCTTATTTCTGGGTAATATTACAAATCAAGGATTTAAACCTCGTATTAGTTTCTGTTTACAATTACTGTAACTCTATGACACCAATCCGTCTAAACAATGTTTCGAACAAAAGTGTTCAATTAACTTTATAGTCTAAGAGTCAATGGAAAGATACCTCTGTGTATTTGACCAGACCAGGGTTTTTGTACATTGAGGCCCCCATACTTACTGCTATTTTAGTTTGATTGCGGTGACTACATACATTCAAATGACAGGATTTAAGGGAAGGATGTATGTTTTGAAGAAAGTAAAACAAATGTGTTTTGGAACGTTTATTAAACATTATTTAATTAATAGTTCGAGTGTGTTCTGATCATAGTCCTCCAGCTTCAGCTGACAAGGGCTCTCGGAGACCATGTTCCCTACCTTCCCCACCAACCAGAATGTCTCCATCAGACCTTTACCCTGAGCAACAAAATTTATTACAACGTTAACTCGGCGGGAGGCGCTACGGGGTAAAATTTACCACATAGTGCATAGTTTCGAAAATATTTATTTTTGTAAGTAATTTTGTACAGCGCCGTTTTAGATACCTTTCGACAGATGTTCCACGGTTCGATTAATAAAGAAAATCGTGAGATTACTTGAAGGTGTTGGCTGTATATCTTGTATTGCCACAAATTAAGTGTAAATCTACAATATTAAACCTGCCTACATACATTTATAAAAAGTAAAATAATACTTTTACTTGGTGGTAATGGCGAGCAAAATAATAATATTCCGAATAAACAACAGGAAAGAGCCCTCCAGCCACACTAGCAAATATTTCGTTTTGTGCACAAAATGGCTGAACTTTTGGGCTATGTTTTAAAATGTCAAATATTACATATTATACCAAGCGTTATTAGTTTCCCACTGTCTTGTTTAATCGAAAATGTAACACAATATAATATAAAATTTGGTTATATTTAATTCATCCATAAAATAACTCTAGTTCTTACATTAATATTATTGTGGTATTTTTTACCCAGTAGCGACAGTCAGTGTTGGTATATGGGGCGCGCCTCACGCCGAGTTAACAGGACTTGAAGAATTATTAAAATTAACTACGCCTTAATTCAATACTTATATATCACCAAACTTTCGATTTAAGACATTAACATGATAATATTTTGTTATAAAAAGGCTATAAAAAATACATTTGTATCTGACTTATGCAAGAAAGTTATTTGTGTGATACTGGATATAAACAAAAGCTAAATATTGAATGGCTTACCGCTACGTCGATCATCCCTCGGGATTCTGTAATGTAATTTCCTATTTTGTCTAACGCCTCCTTTGTACTTGATGATATGTGGATTTTCATCGCTAGAACAATTTTTTGCCGGCGAGTTAGAGATTTCAACTTGAAAACGTATGATTCACAAAACAATCGACTTTCAATATCAATAAAATAAATTTTACTTATTGCCATAAATTGCTTCTATATTATCACCTAAACATAAGATAAGCTTTATATGAATAAATAACCTTCTCCCGTGCTCTCCATCCTACTGGCTGTGTTAATGGCATCACCGAAAAGGCAGTACCGTGGCATGGTGGCCCCCACGACCCCCGCCACACACGGGCCTGTGTTGACCCCGGCCCGAACCCTTAGGGGCTCCTCCGGCCTGTGGGGTACTACAGCTCCCTCCACACAACGCAATAGGGATAACGCCATGTCCGCTATCTCCGATACGTGACGATTTCCTACAAGTATTGTATACATATATATGTGTAAATCGCATTTATTCTGTCTCTTAATTAAAACTGAAAATTGAAGTTCCCTTGTAAGCGATTATTAGAATTTGTTCTAAAAATAGGTGACGTTTAATGCTTTAATACTTGAGACGAGATTTGTTGCAGTACTATACGATGTGCACTACCTATAGAGAAATAGAAGCGATAAGTATCATTACTGTGCAGTTGACTTTGACTTTCAAATAAAATATTTTATCTATTGATGACTCTACACACTGGTTTGATTTAATATTACATTTAAATATATTGTTTGAAGATATTCTTAAAGAATGAAATCTACAATGTTTATACAAATTTTAATGACCATTTCTTTGAGGTAGCCCAGAGACGACCATGTATGCGTCTCCTATCGTCTCCACTTTGTAAACGTTGTACTGCATGATTCTGTCATCGAACAATCTGGAAACACAAAGTCATGATCCAAATAATTAATAACCGCTTACTAATAAGTAGTTTATAAAGCTCAGTAATCGAATTCAAAGAAAAAATAATCAAGTTATGTTTTATGAGTCATATACGAAATTTTAAGAAAGAATAAGAACTTCGTTTATAAATTGTTTGAATCTTTCTGCATTCAATAAAGTTTTCTTAAGACGGTCCCAAACAAATTATGTTAATATCGGACAAGGGACTAAGAAATGCGAAAGGAAAAATTTATCCTATGGTATTGGAAACACCCAAAGTTACCGCATATTCTATAAAATATCAATTTATACCCAATTTTATTTTTATTGCCAATAGTGTTCTTTCTTTAATGTTTTATAAATAGACATTAAATTTTAAAAGTATATAATTTTAATTCTCCATGTAAGATATATTAAATAATCACAAACCTGTACAGCATATTAAGCATGTTTATAATCTCCATGGGTGTGCTGTTTGCTGATATATTAGTGAAGCCAACGATATCGCTGAAATAAATAGTGACGGCATCAAAAGCTTCGGCAGGTACCGTCCGCTGAGCTCGCAGCCTCTTCAGAACCGGTAGTGGCAACATTCTTGAGAGCAACAAATCGCTCTTCTGCTTTTCAGCCATCAATTGTTCCGTACTGTGTTGTATAGATTCTGTGAATGCCTGAAAATTATTATTCTGTTTACAGTTTAAGAATATAACATGAATATATGTTTTGAGATTATTAAAGAGTGACAATCTTGATCAAATAGTTTTGAAGTAATACTTGTGTCTTTGTAAATTGAAATTATCTTATTAAAGGTGTTTTTGTTTAAGATAATAATTAGTTAAGGTTTTATTAGTTACTGATTTTATGAGAAAACTATTTTTTATGATTTTTTGTAGAATCCTTAATATATATGTATATCTCAGTCAGTAGTTTGTCTTTAGTTTTCTCTCGATATCTTTCTAATCTTCATTCGAAAACATATGTAGCTTATTTCTCATATCATATGCCTATTATTTCGGTCTCACAACAAACCACAGTAATTACTGATGTATCCAATGATGAATATAATGAAAATAATAAATAAAAAGAAATATCTATTTAAGATACTAATTCATCAATGAAATTAAATATTTGTAGGAAATTGTAATGTGTATATGTAAATTCACATCTGCATTACGCATAGATGGAGCGACAGAAGTATTACTTCAGTCGTGTGGTCAAAAGCACTCTGGTTTTAATTATTTTCATATTGTCTTCTTAACAACACTCTATTTCTATACATAAGGTAGTATATGCTTGGACAGAATATAAAATAATCTATATAAGTTTTTATAGTAAAAATATTAGCCGGTTAGTCATTCTTAACAAATCTGAGTAACTTTCTATTACAGAGAATTTATACAGTGAACTATAAATATGTACTTGTTTCTATGCAGCGGTAAGAATATATTTCGTAGATGTTGCATTACCGATCGGATTTTTCTAAAAAGAACATTAACATATAATTATTATAATTGTATCTTATTGTTTTTAGCGGCGTTTTAGGTATGTTATCCAAGAGACTCAGTTTTGTTAAATAAATTTGTAACTCTCAAGTTCTTCCTTAGATTATTAGGAATAATCTATATATTTTTAAATATCAAAAATAAAATCATATTTAAGAGAAAGGCATCAAATGTTCATATGTATCTTTTGAAAGCAATGAAAAACCACATTACATATTTTATAATCAGTAACAACACACAGAATTCATATCAAAACAATGTATTTCTCATCAAACAGAGAAAATGATATTATAGAAGAAAATACAAAGACACGGGGTTTGGTTTATAATAAAACATTAGTATACGTAGCACGACTCTTCATTACCTACGCACACATGGACAGTTAAACGTTTTACATTCACACATACATTCACATAATACACGAAGACTTAGACAGGATTCCTTTCAATGGATTGACAGACCTTTCTTTAAAGAAGGTACATATAATAACGAGTAATAGAAATATATAATGGACAATACATTAAATATAAAAAAATAAGACTGCGTTAGAAATGGCGTATGTCTCAAAATATATTATTGCAAATGTAATTAGTATTTATTAACTTTGAGTGATATTTAATAAATATTTCTTCAAAATATCCGGACTCCGGATTGTCTTAATCCCAAAACTTCAAACGGGAAACAAAAGTTCTTATATTAAAAATGTAGGAAATAGTTTTAAGTCACAATGTGTGCATAACCATATTCAGCTTTTGTTTGTTGTAAACCTCATTAAAATGCTCTAGAAGCTTGTTCCGTGTGATAGAATTGTATCACTTGAAATTGACATTCTGGTATATTTATATGCATCATATGGACAGAAAGCATTGAATTATGAAATGCAATGTTATCATTATTTTACATAGCATTATCCTTAGTCGTAATTTTCATTATCATAACATACGAAGCGTTAACAGATTTCATCAATGAATTCGATTATTATTTTATTCACAGTTATTGAATGAGAAATTTAGACCAGGCGCACCTTGAAAGTGACGTAACATCACCTCATCGTTGCGCTACATTATCTGACCAATGAAAGGATGATGGACTTGCATCAAGCGGGAATATTTGAATGACCGTCACTTAACATACGCATTCGATAGAAACGAAGCTTTTGATAAATACCTAGATTTTAATTACATCTTTATTAATTAATTGGTATAACATTATTTAAGTATGTTTAAAATATGCCTCACATTTGTGATAGTACATGTAATATACATATATATATATATACATATATATATATATATATATATATATATACATATACTAATTATGTACATATGTATATATTTTATCCCAAACCAAATCAGTATATATACTACAACTGTTACCAATTAATACGCAATATGTAGTTCGACAATTTCTTAAACTGATACTTTTTTTTTTAAACAATTATTCCTTAGTAGTCCTATGTAGATGTTTATTAAACTCGTTTTCAAACATTTAGTAATCTACCTGACATAATATCATAGTTTTACAGTACAGTAGATGACACATCAAACCAAGTTTTAGATATTTTTAATAATTAACAGTTTATATTCCTTATACAGATTTTTTATAAGATCTCTCCTATATTTTCAAACTGATATGACATTCGGACTGCAGGCTCGTTTCTTTGTTTTTGTTAGCCATCGTTCTATCGACACCGTGAATGTAAACGTTGTCTTGTTAAAATACTACATTTTTGTCATTCTCCAGGAATATTAAGAGAAAACATAATCGTTTAATAGATTCTGGTAATCAGTCGCCGTCATATAATTTTTAATATATCAAATCATAATATAAATCATGCCAATATTTGTATATGTCAGAAAATAACACGTAGTTATAAAATGGTTTCTGTTATAATTATCTGATCATTTAAGTCCATTTATAATAGTGAGCTAGAAATATTTTTTCATTATTAATGGCGGCCAAAATCTGATGCTTTTATTTGGCTAAAAGTACGGTCTAAAGAAAACTGCCTAGCAACGTGATGACAAAGCTCCCGTCACTGATAGTTGTACTAAAAACCCTACTTGACTGCGAGAGAAAATTAATCACTAATCAGAATTCGATGAATTACCTGAATCCGTTCGTCAAGGTCACACATAATCATGCGGATTCTTATCTGAGCGACACTACAGCTAAGTAATTTTGTTTATTTAAATTGTATAATATGTGTAGTAATACTTTAAAAGTACGTTTTGTTATAAAACTAATATGTGATACATAATATAGTTCTTGAAATAAAAAACAAGTTTAGGAAAAGCTAAAAAATGTCCCTTATTCAAAATTGATATTTCAATTGAACTAATATTTTCGGACAACTTTATGTATTTTATTATTTTTAAAAATTACATGCTCCCCACGTTTAAAGTAAACTATATACAGAAAATATTTTTTCTACTCGTTTCTCTTCGTTCATATCCTTACCATAATACACTCGCAGTTGTTTTGTTATTACGAAACTATGATACTATCAAGGTTGGATATGTTTTTTAGAACTAAACTTGATTTGTTTCTTAGAACTAAAAGCCTTTTCCAAAGATATGAGCTACTGCATATAGTTTAGATATTACCTGTATAGTGGTTATAATATGTCTGAGGATCAGTATAAGCACTGGTGAAGCAAGCAACACGACCACCAGCACAAAAACGCCCAAGGCCAAGGTCCGACGTGCGTACCACACTTCATGATCAGCTGATTTCCTGAAATTACACATTCACCTATTCTAATTTTATTCCAGACTATGCTTAGCTGCTATACAATTGTTCCACGTGTATACATAACGGTCATATAAGCCATAACTAATTCGAATGTCAATTATAATTTGATATGACATTATAAAATTCGTTAACACCGGTTTGAATGAAAATTATACAATAATGGACAAATAATTTGACGATTATCTAAATAAATATGTTTCATTTTTATATAAAAATAGCTCGGAATAGAATTCGGAATTAGTATCAAAAAGTTAAAAAAATATAAATATTCTATAAAGGCAAAAATTTGGTAATGGAATTCCAGTTGGCGCTTTCATCAAAATGCCTATTTTGGTCGAAATAGTGAATGGTATTTAAAATGAACATCGGTTTCTCTATTGGCACGTATTCATTTGTCACTGAGGAACAAGCTTTGCAATATAAATGTGGTTGCATTAACCCTTCTCTAGAGAACAATGTATTGATTGCGAAAATCATAATCGACGAGGTACGTATTTTTAACGGAGATTTTTACATTACAATGAGCATATTCGTCATCAATTATGATCAAAAATTGCTACACTGTAAATCTCACAAAAAATTAAAGGAAATTAGACATAGAATTCTTTTCTAAAGAATCATACATATTAACAACTGCTTAATATATTTAAAATCCTTTACACGAGTAAATAAGAATTATGAATTAAGAGTTACATATTTTTTTCTTTATCTAATTTGAATTCATTACAATTCTTGTCATTTAAGGTATTATACTTATTTTCATGCACTAAGGTGTATTATTGTCTGTTTGATTTGATTGAGTTGATACATTTCATACATAAGGTTGTGATGTCTTTACCTGACATATTTCCATAAACCCGTCTGCATCGTTTTGGACATCTCCACGAAGCCTGATGTTTTTTCCACGTAATCATTCCCTACGGAGTCCCAGTCATCCATTTTAAAATTATTTTCACTAACATTAGTCAAAGTCGTTTTGTAGCTGAAAATTATTTAGGTTTTTCTCACTAATGTTCACAATCTTTTTCACGATTTCTACTTAAAAATGGTCTCCCTGTACATGTCGATATTTTAAAACATTTCATTGAATACGATCAGTTACTTGTTTATTATTATAAAGTACTGTTTCACTCGATATATTTGCATTTGTAAAATTTACTTTATATACAGTGGAACCCTTGAAGAATACAAGATATAATTTATATCCAAAAGTAATAGTGGTTAAATGAAAAAGAAAAAACTGCACACAGACATAAGTTATGTACATTTGTATAATATAAATTTGTAACTTTAAAAATTATTACAGTGGAACTTAGCCAAAAACCTTTCTGCCAAATTATCAAGTTTCTAAATATATTTCAGTCAAAATTAAAGATTCAGAGAGACTATTTAGTCTCGATTTCTATAAATTTCCATTTAAATACATACTATTGTTGTTTTAAAACGAACAGCAGAATTGGTTATAATACAATTTCAATTTAAAATTATAGGTTTATTGAAATTAATATTGTAATTGAAATTTGAATAACTATATTGGCTTTTATAGATATCTTTATAATGTCGTTTTACAACCATTTAAATTACACTCGTTACAAAAGTGATATAATTTTAATAGTAACTTTAGGTACATCTAAAATATTAATTTGTACATATCTCTTTAACTGCATGGTTTTATAAATTAAATGATATAATATTAAGTGATATTTTTTGTTTCGACTAATAAGTACTATTGAAATAGGCATGAGTTGTAAGCATATTAACTAATTATAAGATATTTAAATCCATAAACTGATATCTAAATTTTCTTTAATACTATAAATACGAACGCCTGCGCTTAATTTATAGCAATGTCGGGCACATTTTAGTGACTTTATTGCCTAGTTTAAGTTAGCCAGTTCATTTATGAGACCAGAGAACAGGGACATAAAGTTATTTATGTTCAAAAGAATAACACAATATCACATGATTTGAATGTAAGCGATTAAAAAGAAAACAGTGCCTATAAAATTATATACTTACTACATTAACATTTTCTTTAGGATTTCATCGTCGTTGAATGTTTCAAATTCTAAATACTGTACAGCTGATTCCAGGTGTTCCACCGCTAATTCCAGCTGCTGCTTCACTGGCGCCAGCACATATTCGTGGTCATCTGACACGAGAGAGTATGTGACTAATGTTTGCAATATTGATAGATCTTCCAGGGTTTTGATAAACTCGTAACACGCTGATAGTTGTCTGAAAATTTAAAATAATGACTAAATAAAACTTATATTTCTCGGATTACTGCGCGTATTTTATTATTTTTAAAAACTACGAGATCTCGTCATCCCGTGATCACGGTTGGTGAAAGTAGCTGAAAGGTTGAGAATATGCAGCTTTTAAAAATAATAGAATACGCGAAGTAATCCGAAAATTATTAGTTTCATTTAAATGAATACTTGCGAAAGTTTTAGTTGTCATAAAATAATGTCGGTAATCTTTCGTACATATTAAGAGCTCATGCAAAATTGAATCCAATTGTACATGAGATAAGTTACACTTTTAGTTAACATCAGCCGGGATGATAATGAAATACTTACTCAGTAAATAATTAAAAATAAAAGTACAAATTAGTAAAAGTATACATTTTCCATACCTCCAAAGAGGTGTTTTCGTAGCTTTAACAGCCTTTATCATATGAACTAACAATATTGAATTAAGTTTCTTGTAAACAGATATCCTTTTGATAGATTCTGTCCTCTTCATATTCCTGGAATTAAATAATTATATTAACAGTGACGTCATTTACACGTAATACTTAAATACAAAGCGTTTTCAAAAACAAAATTCTCATTAATAACAAAATTTCCTTTGTATTCTTTTTATGGTCTAATAAATTCCCTTTGAAACAATCCTATTTTTTACATTCAACCATTTACAAAAAAATAGAGGGTTCTAAAAAAATAAAATTGGTTCCGCTTATAATATTATTTTTCGCTAACAGAACGCCGGCCTTCCAAAACAAAATATTCGAGATATTTCACCAAAAAGGTTTCAATGTATTAAAAAGAATGTATTGACACCTACAATCATACTTACGTAACGCCCAAAACATCCTCTCTATAATGGCTGCATGAAAACGAAAGTTTTCTTATTTGGATTTTCCTTTATGTATATTCTACCCAAAGTCAAACATGTTACAATTTATTTTGAAAGAGAACAAATATAGCTAAAGACTGGCAATACAGATGTGTAGTTTCACAAAATCCATTAAAATTCAAAAGTTATCTTATTTGGAAAATAAAAATATTCTTTCTCCCTTAATAAGCCTTCGATTGCCAATATTCTTTAATTAATACAAAAATAATAATTAATTGGTTGCCTTCTTCTAAGCTGCTTACTACAAAGTTAAATTTATTTTTTAAGTTATTCTTATTTATAGGGCTCAATTTGCCTTTTATAATAACTATCGCATTTATAATTTATATCTTAAAATGTTTTTAGGTTCCATTACTTTTATAACTTAATTCCTCTTGTTTATTAGTGACTATTTTTAGCTCTGCATAACAAGCCCCGAGCATATTTGTAATATGGAAAACGAATTTGCTTTAATATACTTGTAACATAAATACACGTGATAGGTAGTAAATAATTTGTCATATGACAAATAAATATTGAATAATTTTAAGAATCATAATCGTTTTTATTTCTTTTTATTAAAATCTTTAATTCCTTGACAACTTACAAATTTGCACTGATATGTCAGCTCACGAAGTATTTCTACACACGTAGTATTGATATAGATCAAATTCTTACACATAATAAAACAAACTAATCTTTAATTTCAAATATGTTGGATATAATTATATATAATTTACCATATTTTTAATATTTTTAAAGGAAATAATATCGTATTATATTCGGACTAAAATCGATCCTTGTTAATCTACACAATATTGATGAAGCGATATCTCTTAGCAATAGAAGTGAACTAATTTTCTTAATACACTACGCTTGTTAGTAGAAGCACAGGTATTAGAATAATGTTTACAAGAACCGTTACCGGATAGATGTGATGTAAATACAAGGAATACGATTTTCTTGTTTGTAGTAAGTCTGCGGTAGTTAATTCCCTACACGAAGGATACTACATTGTAATTACAACATACTACTCAGAGGAAATTTAAAAATCCTCAGATGTTGCTATAAATTTGTGAAAAGAAATAGTAAGTAGCTTTTAATTATATCAATTATGCTTGTTTGCATAATATAACTTTCCTTTTACTTTTGATGTGTCTCGGAGCAAAACTCGCAATATACAATGAATTCAGTTTGGTATCACAAGTGTAAATATTCCTCGAGAAACATATTTATCCTAAACTAGTTTTTGCCCGCGACTTCGTCCGCGTTAGTTTGGTCAAGAGTAATATATGTAGGTATAGCTGACCAGGCGAACTCTATTCCGTTTTAGAGGCCATAAATAATCAGGTTTTTCCTGTTTCAATCAAACAGAATGATTGACATATTAGTTAGTTGTCAAATCTAATGTCAAAAAAAACACGTTTGTATGGGAAATAGAAAAGGGCTGTTTTTAGGGTTTTCTCGGCAATTATTCCAATTTTTCTCACCTTTTAAACCTTCCCTGGACTTCCAGGAGTATTTCAAGACTAAAATTAGCCAAATCGGTTCAGCTGTTCTCGAGTTTTAGCGAGACTAAGTAACAGCAATCCATTTTTATATACATATATAGAAGATTAATATTAGTTTTTTTTTTTTTATGGGACCAGTTATATATTTTATGATAACAAAGTTTTATAGAATTTTAAAATCTCCTAAAATTTTTACCATTACACTAAACAAGTGAAATCGAGCAATCATAGCCCAAAAATGCTTTGCCTAATTTACTAAAAGCCTTCTACATTACTTCAAATGAAAAAAAAACGCTTCAGTATCAATTGATCTGGTTAAAGCAAACTGACAAACACACATACAGAAATCGACATGAAATTTCAATAACCCTATATTTGTATCTTGCAATATAAATAATACTTTTAATCATGGTTGTTACTTCTTTATTATTAAAATATATAATATAATAAATATATAATATAAATTTAAAGAACTACAAACTACTTGATCTTAAATCTAGACGACTGCAATTGGAAGCTGTGTTACTTTACGATATTTGTACTAATAAGTTCGATTGCCTGAGCATTATAAACAAAATTGGATATTCTGTGCCCTTGCGGGCTCATATGCAGTAATCCCACCGTTATCAATATTTTGCTGTAGCCCGATCCCGCACTAATGCCGGTATGCGTTCCCCATTAAATCGAATACTTAATGCATATAACAAGAAGTTTTACAATTTAGACATTTTCACTAACTGTAGTAGTGCTTATAAAAAACAACTTATTGATGTATTAAATGAGCAATAGTAATTCCAAGTTATAATTGAAATACGGACATACGCTCATACACGCTTCATTCTAGTTTGGATTCGTGCTGTTCCAATATTACATATAATAAAAATCATATTAAACACACATAAAAAATTATTAGATATATGTGCTTTTTAATAATAAGTGTATTGTATGTATGTCTCTATTTGTACTCGTATATTGAACAAAATGTTTATATTTAATTTTTCTTGTTTTTCTTTCTTTTATTTTTTCTATAGAACTCATCTGTCATATCTTTACACCATAATAAGTAATAATTAAATTTTTAATTGTTTGAATTTGTTAATATTTAATTCTTCAACAGGTTCATTTTTATTTTTGTTTTCTTATGTACATATAATGTGAGAATCGTTGTTGAGTTTAAAATAACTGGTATGTACTAATTAAGCTATAAGAAATGATAATTGTAAACTTGTTTGTGGTTCCAACAAATTAAAAAATATATATGATACAACAAATGGGAACTAGAATTGCAATGTTCTTATGACTAAGTACTACAAATAGCTAACATGCGTAAAGTAACTAATGATACTAATTCAAGATGTACATTGTACACTCTATTTCACTTGAAGCCAATTGCATTGAAACATAATATGGATGGAAGTAATTGGAAATGCTTTTGTAAAGTAAAAATTCAATGGAAAAGTCGACATGAGACAGAATTCAATATAAACATACAGTCTTATCTTTACATACATTCAATATCTCTCAAATAGCACATATCTAACAATATGGTAATGAGATCTTAGACATTCGCGAGTATTCATTTAAATGAAACTAATATTTTTTGGATTATACTACGCGTATTTTATTATTTTATAAAACTACATATCCCCAACGATTCGGTTACTTTTCATCTCGTCTGCCCGTGATCACGGTTGCTGAAAGTGACCAAAACGTCGGGAGTATGTAGTTTTCATAATAATAAAAAAAGCATATACTCCGCAAAATATTACATAGTTACATTTAAACGTTATGGTAAATTGTAACTATGTATACGCAGAATGATGTACCAGGTCTCCTCTATAAATTTTAATGAAGCAATCTAATTTAATAATGTTATAATATAATGAGTATTGAGAAATTTATAATTAAAAGAGATAAACTATAGAACAATTAAACAAAATAAGTTATGAGCGAGAAGGGAATCGCTAAACCAATTAGAGGAAGAAAATTAAGAGAATAATTTAATGTCTGTTTAAAATTTTATTGTATTTCATATTTATAAACAATGTTTTCGTGTAAATAATAAATTCTATTGTTAGATGTAAAATTTGTTTGAGTTTTGTAATTGCTTTTGAACTGTTGTTTTTTATTTTTCATTTTATTTCAAGTTTTCTCTTATAATGAAACGAAACGGAACACGTAACTATAAATAGCGTGATAATGATGTAGTTATGTTCCCGAATACGTTTAGTACATTTAAATTTCCATGTGTTTCATACATATGTATAATAAGTGCAGTCAAAATATTAGCCCTGCACTCTCGTTGATAAATGCCCATCGATGTTCTCAATTAATTTTAGCCAGCTATAATTTAAATTTAAAGTTATTCATGAATTTCATTTTTGAAATCTATTGATGTTTGTTATTATAACAATTCTATTTTATCAGAACATGTAACAATATTTACAAGGGTTGCTACGGGTCGAAACTTTACGAGAGTTACAAGTATTATTTTATAAAATTTCAGATACAAATGATAATTGAATAGCCACAGTTTGAAAATGCCTCCATTTATTTTATTAATTACAAGGCAGTAAAACGAAGTTTAAATGCTGAGATGAAAGTTTTGCTGTGCAGTTGGAACTGACATAATGTGTCTCGGTTCTTCTCAATTATTATATTAAATCATTTAAAACTTGTATATCATTATGCTTAATCTATGTTTATATCCTCACATTAAAATATAGACCGTTGACAGTTTTTCATTCATAAATCTTAGCTTATTATTGGTTATTGAATGAGATACGGGAAAAGCTTTATATGTATGTACGTAGTGTAACGAGGTTAGACTAACCAAGACTAGGCGATAAAACCGCCTTTTGCTTCATTCCTTTTACACTTTGTTTATATTTTTTTTTGTGTATTGACATTCGATAAAGAAAATAATATTTATGGAGCTTCACAACGCAATACATATGAAACAAAAAACTAAGGAATTCTACCTGATTTTATTGGTATCCATAGAATAGAATAGAATAGGTACTGTATTATTTTTATGGCCTTGTTGCAAAATTTTACAAAATAACCAATAATAAGGATTGAATCTTATAACTAAAATGTATTTAAGAGCCTCAATAGAAGATAAATGCACGAAGAATGGAAAACCTTATGAGCATCATTCTCTATTAACATTGCGATTTTAAGTTAAAGCTGATTTATTTCTAGCCAACTCTTGTTTCTACATAATCTTATATAAAAAATTCTCATATCGCGGTGCTAGACAGAAAACTCCTTCGAAACGGCTGGACCGATTTTGATGAAATTTTGTGAGCATATTGAATAGGTCTGAGAATCGGCCAACATCTATTTTTCATACCCCTAAGTCATAAGGGTTGTTCACCCTTAAATTTTATTTTCGGACGACATTTTTTGTTTTTATTTTTTTATAATGTAGCATTAAAAATACATACAACCCAAAATTTTTAATTTTTTATCACCAACCCCTATTTTTTATATGACAAAACAAAATTTGCCGGGTCACCTAGTAAATATATAAAATTGAGTTTGGGAAACTTTATATTAAACTTAAATGAAGGACGCTAGAATGTTATTATTAGAATAACTCAACTGACGAATGAAAGTTTTCAAATGTTTGATTTCACATTCCCATATTTTTTTCGCTCGAATTTGCTTAGTCATGGACGGTTTTCTCTAAGGATATTATCCGGTTAGTTCCCTAAAACGGTCAAATCCAGTTCTATACGAACAAACTTTATTCTTGGACCTGATAAACCGGTCATACGAAAAGTGAAATAAAACCCACACTTGAACATTGACCGAGAGTATTTATAGTCTTGTTTTTTCATAATTTTCGGATCTACCTTCTCTTTATACCTTCATACATCATATTTTCGATATACATAAAAAGGCCCTTTAGAATTTATGAAATAAAATTAGTATGTGCGAAAACTGTACAATACCGAATGCCTTGATCTCAACGAAGGTCGTCGACCTACGGGCTACGATCGACCGGGTCCGACGGCTGCGATCTTTTTAAATTTAATTAACTCCTATAAATAGTATCACAACAAACTCAAGACCATAGAAAATTAATTAAAACACTCTAATAAATAGATACAAAACATATATCAGCTTTAAATAATAGTAACACAAAACATGCCTATGCCTCGCTGTTATATACACTACATACAAAACTTGTGTTATCGGATTATCTAGTATTCATTTTCATAACGACAGACATACTTTAGCATTTGCTAATATATTAATTATCATACGGTGTTGTGTGCATGAACATTAATTGCTGGCTATATACATCCCTTTTAAAGCGTTGAATTATGGTGTATAGAGTGTATATTTAAACTTTTATCATGCTTTTATAACTTATATAAATAAATATACATAGACAGAATATTTCTTTTATTCAATAGACAATAAAAACAAATATTTTTCGTCTCATCATAAAATATAAAATTTAATGTAATTTGTGGCAAGCTATACTCACTAGAGAGTCATCTTGAGCTCATCTGATAGGAGAAGCGGTGGTGCATCATCCAACCAAAAGTCCGTAATGAAGAAAACTCGCCGCAAAGTCGTCCTTTAAAAGAAATTTATTAAAACTTGGTTATATAAAATACGTTCAATACTACTGAACAAGTCTTTAACTGAAGCCATGAAAATAAAAGAGAGATTTTATTAAGAATTATCATCATTATTAAAATAAAGTTTTTCCGAAAATTAAATTATTGTTATATTTAATTACGGTTTTACTTTATATCAATAAGTATATTATAGTAACAATAAGTGTATGTAACAGTCTGTATGTAAAACCTTCTCGCCGGTAAATATAAATAAAATGAACATTATTACTGATACGGAATTTCGTAAGAGAAGTGTGAAAAAATCAAATGGAATCAATAAGATTTGTCTTATTGACGAAAAAATCCAGTTTTCGAGTCCGTTGATCCAGGTTCATTGACCTTGCGTTAGATATTAAACGTTTCTATATCGCGTACCGTGTTTTTTGTAGAGAGGTAAACAAAGACTCATTCCCATTTAAAATAATCTTTCTTTGACATTTTCTTTAACATAAATACTTACTTATTACGTACATCAGATGTTAATGAATCCGAGAATAGATATCTCGTGACGTAAGCCCTTTCATCTTGAATGGCAAGAACCATTTCGCCCAAGGACAATGTCATATTAATCTAGAAAACAAATAACACTTGATATTACTATATATTATATAATTGATTTTACTTCTATTAACTTAAATCTATAGACCCGATCTTAACTAGCGAGAATATCTAAAATTTTTTTTTAAATAATACATATAAAGCTTTGAAAAAAAGTAGGTAATTTTTCCAATTACAATAAATTATCGAAGTTATTAATGAAAATGACTCCATAATCATATGTTATTTCTAATTATAGTTTGGGAAACAATTAACAAGTAGAAATAAAAACTCATATAGAAATTTATTTAATATTTATATTTTTAGTGTTAACCTTAATTGATGTTTGTAGGGGCGCTAGACGGTAACAATATCGTATTGTCGAAATATATACAAATTAACACACGTGTTACATTTAACAATGTTCTATAAATAAATTTAATGATGGTACGTTCAAATAAAATTGTATTTTCCTTTTTAACCCCAATATATAGGTATACATTTTTTCACTATAGCCTGACGGTTCGCTTACTTAGCAATCATCGTGTTTATGGAAAGAAAAGATAAAAGTGTATCATCTAACGCCAAAGATGTATTACTCAAAACTAGAATAGAAAATATAAAATTGTTTTTTTTTTAAATCAAATATACCTATTTAATTCTTCTATAACAGAAATCTAATGTAAAATATGATAAATCTCTTGTGAAGATATAAAATCCGTATTTTCTTCAAATAAATAAGATTTAATGACACTTCCATCTCTTCTGAAGGTAATCAAGATTTCTGAAAAAGGAGAAGCCTACCGTCTGCTCACTTGCCACCTTTCACATAAAAAAAACATGGCAGGAAAGGGTAGGAACAGGAAAAGGCAACCGGCTCTCTTAGTTATACGACAAATTGTAGCCATTAAAGACTACTTCACACCAGTCTTTTGTGAGAGATTATTACTTCTTCGGTCGAGCCAGCCCATATTTGAGCTCTAGTAACCTGTCCAAAGCTAGGCTCTACTACCTTAGTGACATTATGTTAAGTATGAAGTCCTGATACTATGGATAAATCAATCAATCATAAGAAAAAGCCTGGCTAAATATAATAGTCCAAGTTTTATTAAAGAGTCATCTATTTACTAAAACTAAATAGTTTATTAAACATTTGACATAGCATTTCACTATTGTCAAGAGATTACTTTGTCCGATAAAAGCGACCACTTCCAGAACAGTTATACACAAGGGTAGAGACTAAACAGTAAAGATTCAGTTTAATGAAATTTTGCCTTTTTTGCTAGTTGGATGAAAGTAATAAAATTTATATTCGTTTAAAACGACTTGGATATCTAAATAACTATGATGTAATTAAACTTTTGTATATCTAGAATTATTATGAAGACCATGCGATTGGGATACTAAGTAGACCAAGGATCGGTAGCACTTTTTTACTAAAAGAAGATTTTATGTGTCTAAATGTATTAAAAATTGTATCATCATTATGTCATTACATATGTATATTATTCTCAATTAACTATAATAAGTATGTCCATTATGAATCTCTTATAAAATGGTCATACCAAAACATGTAACCATTCAATTGAAGCATATTATTACAATATCATAAAGGTAATACAAAAAACAAGAAAGAATCGTCATAGTATAATTCTTCACAGGTAGATATTAAAACAGTCATACCAGCTATGGATAAAACGGGGCTAACAATAATTTTATTACTACTTGGTATATTTAACGGCTGTAATATATAGATAGGAGTACGTAGACTAATATTTTAGGCTCACGTTGCCCATTATTTGTGACCCAGTTACAAAGCTTTACTGATTTTAGGTCATCACACGGATTGCACAATATAGAAGTGCTATTGAAGTATTTAGAATATTAACAAAGTAATGGTTAACCTCCTCTAGGTCTCATTAGAATTTCATTGAACCTTAACAAAAGAATACTTCTGGTTTTTTATTTTAATTTACCAAAAAATCTTTGCTCCCTTTCTTTCAAAGTTACGATCATTAAATCGCAATAACAATGTTTGAAATCTCATGATACACACGTATATGAAATTCTGTGATTACAGAAGACTTATTCAGAAAGAAATATTCCGTTTCCAAATTTATTATTTCTTACCTGTTTTTATGAGGAATTCTTTATGATAAATTATTATACTTGATCTCATTTTACTACCCTTTTTATCTTGTTAGATCCTCAAATGATTTGTTTGATCTTTCGAGATCAAACAAACTATTGAAATCAATTCACTTATATTACAGTAAAATAAGTACGTCTTACAATTTTGTCCGTCTTAAGTGATAAGGTCGTTTATCTTCTCTTAATCGCGGCCAAAATGTCGAGCTAATATAAAATTGTGAGATAAAAAAACCTAAAGGAAAAATTATTCTCTAAAAATCTGTTCAGTACTTCTCGTGTGATTAAGTAACAATCAAGCAAAAATTAATTGACTATTTTGTGAGTAGTGTTGCGTTAATAATGACTGTCGAAATCATTATATATTAAAAGTAAAACAAACATTGTTTTAATGATTCTTCAGGACGACATGAAGCGTAAAATACAATAACATTTGAGGACGTCGTAAACTAAAATTACTACACTACCGTATCTATATATTAAACAGGAACATTGAACGATGAAACTTTAATAATTCTTAAAATTTTATAACCCAAAACTGTTTTCTATTAACTTCGTGGACTGAACATCTATTTACATTCAATCGTGTGAAAACTATTGTAAAACACGTGGGTTCATGAGAACTACTCTTTAATGTTAAAACTGTTTTACTTAATACAGACTCAAAGTTATTTCAGGTTGTGATTATTTTGGAGGTTAATTAAATAAAAATAGACGAAACCTTGCCTAGGGTGAGATTCAGCGGTAAGGGCTAAATTATTCTTATCTTCCAAGAACCTTGAGTGCCATAACCCTGGACTCATCTACCAAACTTATACGATCTGTTTTCAAGTCTGAAGACAGAATAACATACATTTAAAGACAATAAATTTAATAGGATATAGAGAAATATAGGTTTAAAATATGCATGTAACATTAAACTTTAAAAAATTATAAGAAAAAATAATACAATGTTCATCAAAAACCGAAATGTTCCAAAGATATCATATTGTGAACTGAAATAAAATATTTGTTTTTATAAAGTCGCCAACATTTGGAACTTAAAACTTTCTGTTAAGTGTTAAATTAATATCTAAAAATAATTTTACAAAGTTAAGTATATTTTAAACATCTAACAGCTCTAAAGCGAGCGAAAATGTTTACATTTTAGCCGTAACTATTAGAAAACATTACATATTTCATAAATCAACATTGTCTAATTATATTTGACAGTAAAGTTTGTTAAACGGTTATGAACGAGATTGTGGTTTAATTAGTTGAATTCAAAGCCCAATTATATGTACACAACTAGATAGCCAAGCTAAGTTATTTGCTAATAATAATTGAATATATATATTAGAAATAAATGTAATACCAAACTTGATATAAAATTTGTTATATTCTGAATTAGAGAAGAAAAAATAATAATTGGCATGTTAGCTATCATAAGAAAAATACGTAAATATTATATTTATAATATAGATAATTCTTGATTGGCGTTTTTTTCCTATCATCATTAGTTACAAATATATAAGTATTTTTCAACCTTCCTTTATATTCTTTCCTCTTTTTCCTTTATATTAAACTCAACAATTGCGTCGAAGTCTCCCACGTGTAAGGAAATCCTTCCTAAATTCTTTTTAAAACATATTAATGAATCGAATTTTACAGAAGAAATACAAATACATACATATAATTTTGCGAATGAGTTGTTATCGCCCTTATAATAGGAGATAATAAAATTGTAGAAATAATTTATTAGTATTATATTATTAATATTTATTTCCATGATATTACATATAAGAGCAACGCCCTGTAAATAACTTGAATCCAATTTGGATTATATTCGAGATGTATCAGATAAAGAAATAAATAAAATATGAAAGACAGAAAATTTATTATGATAGAAATACAATTGAAAATCTCTATGATAAAAGCTGTCGAGACGAATCTTTTCATATTAAACTAATGCCTATGAAATGGAATTGCGTTCTTCATTACATGTGTTAAATGCATGTAAAAAAACTAAACAGTCTATGTTTTTTTATCATTCGCACTAGAATCGTGTAATATTTTGCCAATGACAACGTTTTTGTTTGTTTGACTTGTTATATTATTTATATGTGTATAAAAATGACATATATATATGACGCTCGTGACATTAGAAGAGGTTAGAACGTAATGCATATACATATGTATATGACAATAGTGTGTAGTGTATACGTATGATGTTCATGCGTAGTGAATTTATATGACATTCGTGAGTAGTGTATATGACGCTGGCGCGTACCACATTTATGTGGTACTCGGGATCTCTTTTTATATGGAGTTTAGGTGTAGATCATTTATATGTTGTTCCACGGCAGTATTTTTTAATACTTATAAAATTTACTTATACGCCGTTTGGCAGCTTACAGAAAAACTGAGTTTTAGAGTTCTATAAGTACACTGACATATAATCTATGTATTTCAATAAGGTTGAAGAGCAGAAAAACAGCAAAACTATCAAGACAAATTCATTTTAGATTATAAAAGAAGATAAAACTTTACTGTACAGATTGCGACATATATTTGCTGGGTCCTTAGCAGGAATCACAGAAGAGGAGGAAGATTCATACTAGGAATTGAATAGGATTAATGCACTTGCGTTGCATGGAACTTACTGTATTATAGTACTAGGAAGTCATATTATAGTAATTCTTTTCGTTCCAAAACATTGTAGTTTCCATTAGTAAAACACATTAGTATGAAAACTTGTGGGTATCTTTCCATGCTCGCCCATCTCCTTATTTTTCCGCCTTTATAAAAGTTACTTTCACATATCAGTATAGTACAATTTTTACTATATATTTTGCATTCATTTTCTAGTTTAAGAATATATTAATTTCTACTAAACAGCGAACAATAGAAATACTATTCATTCGTTACTATTGTGTGAGTTACTGCAGACGCTTAATTTGCATTGTAATAGATCAATTTGACGGATTTCATGTAATTTATGATAGGAACATTAGTTCAGTAGACTATAATTTTGAATGTTATACACATAAAGCTCTCTTGATGAATGTTACTTAATACCTCTATTATCAAGGAATTAAAATATAAAAAGATATTTAACTTAATAACTGCAAATAAATTAAAAACAAGAAATTAATGACAGTTATTACTCATTTCCTTTATAATTACGATGAAGACATGTTAATATGAACAGCAATTGGTTCGCTGTTAATTTAAATTTAAATTATACGTACTGAAATTTATACAGGAATTGTATCTTGTTTATGAACCTGAAAAAGCATAATTTCATACGCCTTTTGTATCCTATAGTCGCTTCGTAACAAACACGGTGGAATCAAAACAACATTTAAATAACAGTATACAGTACAGTATGTGGTATCTATTACAGGGGAAAACATACTCTTACAATTTTATATTTTGTAGCTTGCTATTTAAAAATTGTATAATACTGTAACTATTCTTCTACCTGGCAATTCCCAAACTATAGCCAGGGTCTGCCTTACATGTTGTGAATAGTTTTGGCTATTTGTTTTTACGACCGGCCGCCTACCTGACATCAACCCTCTTTGGGAATCAGCATTAATCAGTGATGTCTAAATACTCTTAGAAAATACATATGACTCGGAAAAATCACATTGGTACTTGCCAGTGCCAGAATCGAACCCGCGCCTTCGTGCATAAGAGGCGTGCCTTTTAACCACTAGGCAACCACTGACTAGAATATATAATGAGATATCAGATATGTATCAAATGTCAATATTGGAACTGAGAAATAAGGATTTCTAAAATTTATTAATACACGAGACTCGTAATAAAAAATAAACGAACCAAAATAAAGCGCAGTCGCAAAAATGCAATTGTGTTTATTAACATTTAACAGAAGTCTTTTGAAATTATTTGATTTACTTACAAAAAAATGTTTCGTCGGTTTAAATAATAAAAATTACAATTTATGACAAGAGTTTGAATGTTTTAACATTATAACTAACATCGTTTTCTATTTTGGAATTAGGTACATATATACATATATTTTCACCACTAATATAAATTAACATGCAACTATGCAAATTATATTATCTTCGTTAAAATTTTAGGTTATTGTCATATGTAAAAATACAGTCATTTAAATAAGAAAATTTTGTAAAATAAAAGCCCGGAGCAATAAACAAACAAGGGTTAAAACTGACTACGAAATAAATGAGAAATAATCCTTAAAGTCAGGATTACTTCGCGAGTAAGCCGAAAAGTTAAATGGTTACATTAAAGCATGTTTAGAACCAATTTTCTTAAAATAAAATTAATATTAATAAGTTTTGTCTATGATAATAACATAACCTTGTGTTTTAAATTAAAATATTGATCACTTACCTCGTCGTTCAAAAACAACGATGAGTCAAAAGTTTGTGAAAGTTGAGCCATAATTGAGCAATTCTGCAATATCAGTGCCGCGTGTGGCACGAAGCATAGCACCACCATTTGTATTAAAAATATCCTTCGACCACGCCTGTCGACAAAACAAGTTTAATGAATAATATTAGCATATATACAGTTTGAACGGACTTAAAAAACTGGTAGTTCGATGCATTACTTATTATTTATTGTAGATATTTCAATAAATGTTCTAATGAAATTCTTAAGGTTATATATGAAGGAGAAGATAATCGACAACATTAGGCATTTTATCCGTAGAAGAGAAGTGTTCGGGCTACTAAAACGTTATGTGACATAGGATGTTAGTAGGACTAAATCATCATATACACACACACGCGCGCACGCACGCACACGCACACACACACACACACACACACACACACACACACACACACACACACACACACGCACACACACACACGCACACACACACAGAGTTATGTATAATCTATACAATAAGTATAAACTTTATCCAGAAAAAGATTAAAATGATGATCAAAAAATTTGTATTCCACCAATTTGTAATATAAAACTTGACATTTACTAACCATTACAGTTATTACTTCCTAAGTGATTTCATAATATAGCGGTCAAAGTCTAACTCAGCGAGTTTCGAATGAATAAGCGATCAATTTGAGTTTTCTGTCACAATAAAATATATTAAAGGGAAATATATTCAAAGTGCACCTCAATAGCGTAAAGGAATGAAGATGCTAACGTCTATAGCGTAGATTTGTATCAATATATCCTTTGCACGTTACGACCAAATAGGAATGTAAATGTGGGACACAGACAGTACAATTTCTTGCTTTTCTTGACATAATATGAAAATAATTTAAAATGCCTTTGACAAAATTTCAAACAAATTCAACAAAACGTATTTTAATCTTTTTTTATTGATTTAGACTTTAGTATAGCTTTTTTAAATAATAATTTATATTTCATAAAATAAATTAAAAAGAACAGTTACTTTATAAAATCTTTAGTAAAAGATAAAATTTCAAAGGAGTTACACCACAGAAGTTTCATCCAAGTAAATTATTCACGACAAAATATTTTTTCGAGAATATTAGGATTTTATTATAAATAAATCCGCACTCTCGTGCAATAACTTCAAATGGCCAGCTAATGCCAAGGGAATTAATGAAATACAGAGAAATGTCAGCTTTGTAAGAAGCAAATTAGAGTTTAAATTTAAATGGGAATGTAACGTAATAAAAGAGTGTAGGATTTCTATACGTGCTAATTCCCACGACATTCAGGCGTCAGACTATGTAAGGTCTTTTCAGTGGTTTGAAGAAAAGCTCCGTAATCTTCACGAAGTTCTTTTAATATAATGAAAATTTATTTATAATGTCAATAGGGTGAACCTCATAATTGGTATTTTTAGAGATCAAATTTATCAACTGGTGTATTGTTGTAAGTGCAAGTATTTTTTTAACTAATATATTTTAGGAACCGATTTTCCTGTTATCTTTTGATAAAAAAATTACTATAGTAATCATGTATCACAACGGGAAAATAAACTGTCGGGTTTCAGAATTCATGACCTAGCATTAAGCAAAAATAAAAAAAATACAAGTCTTAAATTCAGCTGTGATTTATTAAATGTACAGAACTCCATTACTTTAGAATTTATTTAATGTTTTGGAACGCATAGAATAAAATGACAACCATATACTTAGGTTCCTTGAAGTCTCACAACTGTAATGTTTATGCCACAACAATAATAATGTTTTCATACTCAAACTTTTAAACTGTATTTTGCGTACATTTAAAATTACCCGTTTAGCTTGATGCATGGATGCATGGTTGCGTGGTTGCGTGGACGCATGGATATAAAGATCTAAAGGTATATTTAGTGTACTAGTATTTGTTGTTATTTTTTTCCGCAAAACAGCTTAATGGATTTTGACAATACTTTATAGTCACGTAGCTTTATAGCTTAGACCTCAAAATTACATAAAGCCAACAATTTATTCTCGAATTAATTGCAGTTCCGGAATCGCGTCATAACAATTGTATTGTGTCGACTCACACAACACAGATATACAGGGTGACTGGTGAATTACTATCGATAATTGAGGACGTGATATTTGACGGTCATATATGACAAAATAAAAATTAATATAACATAAATATTAATAAACTTCTAAGTAAAGTTAACCAAAAGTTATGTAATTAATTACGCATCGTGTGAACATCCTACAGATTAGGTATACACACACACTCACACATACGCGTGCGGCAGCGTAGTGTTGTATCAGCACGCCGCCGCACTCGTCCACACTTGGAACACTTGGAACGTGTCATCACTTTATTTCTTTATACGGAAATTTTGTCAAAAATTAAGTGCCTATTTTTTTTACATAATTCGAATGAGAACCATGTACCAAGTATTCTCCTTAAATATTGATAGTAATTCACCAGTCACCCTGTATATAGATGTCTCCTCCGGTTGGTAAACATAATATTTAACTGATACATTTCTCTGTAAGCCTTATACCGAAATTTCCATGTGCGAAGAAACGGGTAATAATTAGTTTATTTATGAATAAAAACTGCAGAACTTGATTCCTGAACTATTTACAATAATATACACAAGTCTTAGTGAGTTTAACATGTATGGTTATATTTTATACTTGATAACGCCCCACAAAATCCATTATAACATCTTTATAACTAGATATTTTTTTATTTAAATGGCATCTTCACTAAAAACCAAAGAAAAACATCTAACAAAATTTTAATTAAAGTATAATCTCAGAGAGCAAACAATGAAATAATGAGATTAAATTATAATTGGAATAATTAGAAATTGGGGACCAAAATTATATTAATGTCACAAACAGCAATTTGGTTAAAATGTATTTAGACAGGCGGCAGCGTGTCAAACCAAGTTCAAGCAAAGCAACTGGCTAGCCGACGTGTGTATCATTACACGGGCCACTTGGCACCGCTTTTGACCCTTCTATAACTCAAAACCTCTCTAAAGTAAACACATAAACTAAGTCAGTTTAGTTATCTAGATAAGGACATGTAGGAGCCCAAATTTCATGAAGCTAGCTCAAATGGTTCTAAAGATATGAAGGTCGAAACATCGTCAATTTTAACACTGACTGTCTGACATATGTACATGAATTTAATCAACTTCCAGATTACCTAGAAGGATGAAATTTTTAATCCAGTTCGGTAATTGTGTGTAAGTGTAGGTAAAACATAAAAAAAAGTTAAAAAATAAGTGTCCCCATACGAAAAACCTAATAAAAAAAAAACAACTGGCCATCGCCGCCCCATTCAATCGGCGTCACACTCACGAATGGTACAAAATCATAAGCGCTAGCGATTTCATTTTAATCTAGCGGGTAAGTTGGTTTATCTCTGTGGATTTCTCCCCGAAAAAAAAAGGTTGGTTTATCTCTTAATACCTATTAATATTACACGGCTCACTAAAATACATAAAGATCAGTGACCAACGTACATTTCTCTGATTTCATTTGACAATAAGAAATAAATTGTTATGGTATAAATGTGTTAGTTCGAACTCTTTTCACTTTAAAATAAAGTCCAATGTAAATTAATACTAAGATCAAGGCAATAGCAATGTCTTAGTTTTACCAATATATGTATGTATTGACTAATTTCAGAATGCTCTTAAACTCTTCATGCTGGCTAGAGAGAGTCACAAGCGCATTACTATTTAAAATACAAACGAAACAAAGTTGGATACCAAAACCAATTGCTGTTATTTAAACATGTAAGATCTTAACATATGAAAAATTTGACGTGACCAATTTTTATCAACATTAAATGTTGAATAAATGTATAAAATGTCTCACTTGTTTAATGCTTGTTAATAATGTAATTTTGTTTTTTATAAATACATATTTGGATTTTGAATAGAGTTTTTCACTCATTCAGATCACCATTCTTTTTGCGGCGAAAAAATACTCTCGATTTTCGAGAAAACAAATATTTATTAACAAGAAACTGATTTTTTAAATTTATTTTATGTACATTTATTTAAATTACTATTTATCTTTTGATATTTTTTTTTTATCTTGTCCATATTCCTTTATTAATAAAATAAGTTTTAGTTAAATTCTAGTATCCAAATTTTAAAATAAAAAAATAGAGTGTTAATAGTCGAAAGAAGAATATCAGTTCTTATGTTTTATATGAAATACAATAGGTATAATATGGTTTAATACTTACATTGAAGCTGGGTTGATGCTGAAACAGCCAACTTTGACAGACACTAGTTGAGGTACATTTCTCTCTGAGGGCGTGGTACAGTGAGACCTCGCGTCCACCTTCAAGCCGTTAGCGGACATCATACTTACTAGAATTAAATGGAAACAATTAATCATTACTTCTCAAAAAAACTAAATTAAAAACACAAAAAACAACCTCATATAGTTTTCAAATTCTTTTTAATATAGTTTTGACTTTATCCATTAGTAGAGATAATAAAAGAGATTCATTATTAATATAAGAGATAATAAAAGAGATATTGGACACAAAACATGTTTTAAATCTATTCAGATTGTAGTTTTTGTAATGAATATTATTGCTGGTGCTGATAATGATACACAAATATTTTTACACCACCTTAACAAAACTATTATCAATCCTATTAAGAATGATAATAAATTTATAAGTAATAATTCAAGCACAAAATAATGAGCTAATATTGATAAGATTTTTGAATATACGGGAATTGAAAACATCATTGGCTTTTCCTCGCTATATAAAACCCAAAATTCCAAGTGATAGTGAGTTTTCCATCAATACAAATATTGTAGATAAACATTATATAACTCAAACATTAGGATAATTCCTTACACAGATGTATAACCTGTCTTGTAATGTAATGTTTCCGAAGACAACGTCAGATACAGAACGAAGTGGAGGAAAAAGTTAGAAAAGACTGACCCGATCACCATGTGGGATACACAGTAAGGAAGAGAGAAAGAGAAAGATTTATCACCTGTCTTATAAATAATCTCTCAAACTCACAAACTATGTCAGTTTAGACAACATATCATCTTCTGGGTACATTCAATTAATTAAAACTTTGAATGATACAGTTCAATTAACCAAAATCATCGTGACACGTTACGTAACGTACAAAGCTATGGCTCTATTAGTTTACATTGAGGCGTTAAACTGTTCCCGATACAAAGAGGCAGCTGGTCTGACGAACTGTATAATGAAGTAGTAATTAGAAATAAACGGAAACACAGACCACAGCTCTCATACTACAAAAAACAAATATACTATAATAAATTATATAAAACAGAGGATTCTATTTAGATAAATAGTATCTATTCCTTTAAAAAGTGGAGTCTGGAAGTAATTCAATATGAAATTATTTAAGTACATTAAATAAACACGTATTTTGGAAGGAGACAAAATGAGTATGAAGATTTAGGTTTTCATTTAGAGCATTTTATATACTTTTATTTTATTATACTTCAAAATATAAACTTGCTATTTATCATATATTGTAATAAACAATCAGAAAGGATCTTTATACTGTCGAACGAACCTATATACTTCCATCGAACAGAAAATTTAATTTTAATATATCTAAGAAATTAGAAAGAGGTAATAAAAGCGATACCAATTTTTTATGTGATACTTAGAAATGGCGATTTCGAGATTCAGTAAAACTCGCAGAAAAAACCGGGGTGGGAGACGATATTTTAAAAAATATTTAAGAATATCAATCAATTGTCACGGATTAGAGAGAATAAATTACTTAGCCGGTCCTTGTAGCTCTAAAGGTATGAAATTTTCCTAGAATTATCTTTACTTAAGTCACAAATCAATACAAATCTTTTTTCAGTCTTTTTTACAGAAATATATATTTAATATGATACAATAATGGCTGTCGAAATAAAAATAATATCACGCTGTAAACGCCCTGTATAAAACAGACGAGGCGTTACGAAATCAGACCGAAATTAATTGGACATCAGCTACAAAATAAACAACGTGTGAAAATAATGGTTCGATGATTTCAAATAGATTGATAAAACACTTTTAATACATTTAGAAAATATATATTGAATCTAGATACGGTTCGAGATACTATGAAAAGGAAATTCAAAACGAATGAACAACAAAGAGTTTAATATCAGCTCTCTAAGAACTTCTCTCTATAGAAATAAATGCTCAAAGACGAAGATTCTGTAGTCTGTAGTTTCTTATGCGATCTGTATAAAATCATAAAAACAAATTACTATCGAGATAAAACGTAAACTGAGAACTGAATACGATGTTAAGACTTTGACGTACCACGAATATCTTACGATTTTACAATATAAGCCATAGCCACTTCTTTATTTCTTTATATCTTGACTTCTTTTCAATAGAACTTTAATAAAACATGGAAGATAGATTTATAAGCCGATTCGTTCTATGTAGAATACAACGAATATTATTTCAATGAAATAGTTGTTATAATAAAATTGTAGTTGTTAATATAAATTTTTGGGGCTAAATTTTAGTTAAAGAATATTTGTACTGAACTATAGTATAAATGATATTAATTAAGGTAGTAATTACATATATTTTTAAGTGTTACTCGAGAGGTAACAGTACTTAACTTGTTTGAATATTAGTTCAAATATTAAGGTAAGGTTTTACATTAAATATCGCCTACGCCGTACATGTATTATTTTAAAGACGGTCAACAGGTTCTGGTAACTATTAATATAAGCCGATCAAGGTTTCGTTGGACATATACTTATCTTACATTAATGTATTGTATTTTTATAGCCTTTAGAAAACATCGGAAGCTAAACGCTCTAATAATTTCTGAACGCAACGTCTTTTACCTTAATTGAAAGGGGAAGCCATTTTTCTGAACGTTCATAAAAATAGGTTTCGTAAAGGAATTCATGTAATTATTTAAATTAATTTTCTTTTAAGTACATTTTTAAGCAGAGGTCGCCGAGCAATTGGATTCTTTGATAATTAATTAAATATTTATTGTGCCTATGAATGAGTAAACCGTAATAGGCTTTATAATTTCCTTTTAATAATAAATCGTATTATTTTTTTATAAATTTTGATTAATTAAGTAAAGTTGAAATATAAAGTTATCCTATATAATTTCAAAACGAAAAAGATAACAGTTTTATATCTTGGGTACTCATAATCATAATATTATATTATACTTCTCCAAAAGTATGATAATTCTGGATGTACCTAAAAATTTATTTTTCAATTCACGTATGTATTTCCAAACCTATAACCGATACAAGAAAATTTTAACTTTCAACAGTCTCTTAGTCTCTGTTTTTATTATGTTCCAAGTCTTTGCGATATAACATTTACGTTTATATCCATACAGAATATATTTAGATAAAAATAATTACAAAGTGATCTCATAAAAAACGTACCTTTAAAAATATATCAACTTTTTCAGCGTTCGCCACAACGGCCCATTAGCTCAGTTGGTTAGAGCGTCGTGCTAATAACGCGAAGGTCGCGGGTTCGATCCCCTCATGGGCCACGCACATTTTTGCATAAAAAACTATTAATTTTATTTTTAAGATATTTTTTTCAATTTTCACATACAAATATTTACGTTCCACCGACCTAGTCATCTAAGTCGCAAGAGAATCTGCAAAGAGCGCTCTAAGAGGTCAAGGCTGAGTTTAAAAGGTGGATTCTGTCAGCAAAGACAAACGGTGTTATATACAAAATATCAACATTAAACAAGCAAATAAACAATTTATATAGCTACATTGCATCATATTGACATTTAAATAATTATTTTAATCAATGTTTTTTCTTACTTACAATAAGAGTTTTTCGAAGTTATATTTCTCACCAAAACATTTATTTTCATGTAACATCTTACGATTTTAATCATGTTTTAAACGGGTTTATATAATTAATTATTTACTGATTAATATCAAAAACACACAGGAATTAATAATTGTCATTAATTTTAATATTATAATTACTAGCTGAAAATAATACAAATAAACTTATAAAATAATAAAGTAAGTAAAATAATAAAAGGTTTCTTACACAGTATTCTAAGCTGTGTTAGCTATGATTTATAATCTGTTGAAAAAGAAATTAAACAATCCTTTATTCTTTAAGTCGTTATTTCTCTAATTACTTCGTATTACATGGTTAAATTATGATTTATCTTTTAATTAGGTAATCGCCAAATATATCAATGTGAGTGTTTTTCCTGCTATTTACAAAATTTTCCGTTTTCATTTATATATTCGACTATTCCAGTTGTAAACGTTATCCAATTACTAATTTTAATTATCAATGGAATTAAAAAAATATTTCGAAACCTCATTATATATATAAAATAGTTCATTAAACATTATATACTTATTTACAAATGCTTATATATTATAATTATATTTTTAATAAGTCCTGACACACCATCATAACTCATCCCACGTCAAAATTACTACGCGTTGAGGCATTCTTAAGATATTGTTTTCAAGGTTACCCCAAAAATTGTTCTTACGATTATTTCTTACGTACTGAGTTGCTCACTTTAATTTAAGTGGTTTCTTTACAATTTCTTTTATTAATATACATATGTACCTACATGATCAAAATCAAAGAGTCTATTTGAGATTTACGAATACCAATTAGTAATTATTTTAATTATGTAACTGCCGACGTTTCGGTTACTTTTCAGCAACCGTGACCACTCGTGACATTATGGTAGTTCTTACAATAATAAAATACGCGTAGTATAATCCGAAAAATATTAGTTTCATTTAAATGAATACTCGAGTCTTATATCTCATTAAAACACTCGTATACAAATTATAAAGCTTACTGAGAACAAAGTATTACAAATATTCTAGATATTGTGTTAATAATGCCTGCTTGTACAGATTTCTCTTAAAACAATTTTAAGCGCTTAATGCCTCTTAACTTTAACTGAAATCAAAGTTGTTATACTTATGAATAATAAATTGTATCTCTTGGAGCGACTTCCAAAATGAGATTCTCTATTCGAGGGCTGTTTGTTTTTATTCTATCTTATAAGGCAGGAAAATTTATTTAGATTTTATTATTAGTTTTTCTTGGAAAGGCTACATACTACATTCGCTATAGTAATTCACCTATGATTCAAAATACGAGTTAGAAATCAGAAAATTAAATTCATAATCATTATACTTTTAAACTTGATATGTTTACCCTTATTTATATATAAGGACAATCTTTAAGATTGTGTATATAGTAACTAAGACAGCAAAAAAAATGGTACATCTGTTGGTGTCAAATAAACAAGGATCTGAGAAGAGAAAGTGGCAAAACTAATTGGTACTGAAGAGAA